ACTTCAACTGTATAGAAGCTTGGTGAAAACATCACGTTTTAATGCAGAGTCTTCTAATATTTTGCAGTGTAATATTTCTCTTTGATACAGGTATGTGACGAGCCTCACCCTCTGCTTGTGAAAGAAATGATACAACACTGCATAAATGCAAATATCGATGAAGCATACAAGGTTGGTTTTCCTGTGTTGTGTCTGCATAGACAAGACACTTTTTCTCTACAGAATTCTTACTTGTTTTGAAGAATTCGCAGTGTGTGTTGTCTTTTAAGATAAGGACAATACCATCTTACTTGTTTTGAAGAATTCGCAGTGTGTTTTGTCTTTTAAGATAAGGATGATACCTGTAGTTGACAGATTAAATCCTTTTTATGCAGGGGTTTGTTCAGATGAATAAGCCAACAAGTGAAAAGCAAGTTGTGTTGAAATTACTTGCTAAACAACTGAGGTTAAATAATTTGATAAACAGCACATGCAGTTCCAGTGGTTATATACAGCTGTTCCAAAAGTGAATATGCTTGACTCACCTGATGAGTTTTGCAGATAAATGTAGGATTTTTCTTGCCTGCACAGATTCTTGCCCACCTGTGGCGACTTGGGTACTCTCCAGAAGACGTGATTGGCAACATCTTCCGCGTGTGTAAAACCTTTCAAATGCCAGAATATCTGAAATTGGAATTCATCAAGGTTAGTACTGACCTAGCTCCTGGTGGGTTCTTTTGAGCCTTTTTGAGATGTAATAGGGACAGTGTCAGGGTTTTCTCTTTGAGATTTGCTATACATTAGTGTGAAAAAGTATTTCTTAACTTCTTATTACTGCTTCCTTTCCCACTCTGCATCATCAGGTTGTCAATAAGAATGCTCAATTTAAGTTAAAAGTCCAACCACCCACAGGAGTCCCAAAAGTCACTTGAGTTATCAGCTAGAATTAATAACAAATGTAATGCGGGCTGAAATTTATTATTTACATCAAAGCCTCAAAGAACCCCTTGAGAACTTTCTTCAAGTGCATATTTCCAATAGATAGTAAAATATTAAATTATATTAACAGCTAGTTGACAAATGGTAAACTGGCATAATGGAATCACTTTTCAGATTTAAAACCCATCCACAAAAACATGCATCTTGCTCCTTACAGAGGAAGGGGGGAAATACAGGCCTTAATTTAAAAAAAAACCACCAAAACCAAGAATAAAAATGCATTCTAGTTGGTCTACACGAGAAGAATGAGAAGATAGGCTTCTCTTAAGCTCGAGTGACTGTGGAGTGGGTCTCTTAGCAGTAAGGGCTGTGTTCTGTTTGATCAGTCCCACTATACACACACTGGGGGAGAAAACAGGAGGTTTTACGATGTCTTTATCACCAGGAAATCGGGTACACCCACATGAAGATCGCAGAAGGCGTGAACTCCCTTTTACAGATGGCTGGCCTGCTGGCCAGGCTGTGTCAGAAGACGGCAGCCCCGGCGGCCAGTTAGCTGTTCCCCCGAGGAGACACCCAGGGTGCAGAGGGCCCCAGGGTCTGCATGGTCCAGGGTCCCCGTGGGTGTCCAGGGTCCCTCTGTGTCCCCAGCGCTGCGTGCAAACAGCCTGTTCCCTCAGGTTTGCTAAATCGCTGAAAACTTAACCAGATTCGACTGTAAAAATGGTTTGTACCTTTTTTTTTTATTATTTAGACCAATAAAGCTTTAAAATCTACTTTAACCCAAGAACTCTTACCTGTCGTACAACTGAGGGGGAGGAGAGGACTTTGACAGTCCAGAGCAGTAAGTTCTGTCCACTGCACTCAACAGAACTCATGTCAGTGGTAACAAGACCTAACAGCAGGAGAAACAAAAATTGAATCCTGTTGTTAGCGATTACACTTCAAGCCTGGTCATGAGCTTTGGTCTTACCGAGACCAAGAAGAAAATTCTTTGCACAAAATAAGGCATTTAATGAAGTTACAATTGAGGCACGCTGAGCAGCTGCCACTCCTGGGTGCTGTTTATGTGCTGTGAGCAAGGAAGATATTTTCACCAGACATATACACAAGAAATATTACACGCTTCTTAATGGTGCCAGCTATTTATTTTGGATGTTTCTTTTAAAAAGTTACCACATTCTGGGATGCTCTGCATTTGAGTTCCCCTTTCTGTTCTTGCTGTCCAGCTTAGGTAATGTCATTTTACTCTAGTTTCAGCAAATCAAAAAGCTACAGCATCATGCTTTCCTGTCTGTTCAGCTTTGGAAACCACCTTGCCTGTGCGGATGAGCAACAGAGTGTAAAATGCAGAGTGAAAGCAAATATAAATTGAATTTGACCACCTCCATATCCGAGGCGAGATATGTGTCTCCAAGCAGAGCTTTCTTAATCTAATTAAGTACATTCTGATTACAGCAGTCAAACAAAGCATGGTGAAGGTACAAGTTTCTGGTGCCTGCACTTCACCCTCCCCATCCTGGTGAAGTTTTCTTCCACAGGTACTCAGCTGCCCACACCACAGCGGTCTCGGTGCCAAATCAGCCTGGGGAAGAGAAGGCTCCAGGGAGACCTTAGAGCCCCTTCCAGTCCCTAAAGGGGCTCCAGGAGAGATGGGGAGGGACTCTGGATCAGGGAGGGGAGCCATAGGATGAGGGGGAAGGGTTTTAAACTGAAAGAGGGGAGATTGAGATGAGATCTCAGGAAGAAATTCTTTGCTGTGAGGGTGGTGAGAGCCTGGCCCAGGTTGCCCAGAGAAGCTGTGGCTGCCCCATCCTTGGAGGGGTTCAAGGCCAGGTTGGAGGGGACTTGGAGCAACCTGGTCTGGTGGGAGGTGTCCCTGCCCAGGGCAGGGGGTGGGAACTGGATATCTTTAAGGTCCCTTCCAACCTAAACGATTCTATGTGTTCAGGGCTGAGGGGGGAAGAGGTGTTGCAGTGGAGGTGTCAGAACAGCACACATGGTGTTAGGAGGACCCAAAGCTGGTCCATACCCCCCTGGAGGTACCTACCTGTGCGTCATCTGCTTTGCGGGGTTGGTGCCAGTGGAAGGGTGAGGAACATGGAGGGTCACAGCACCTCTTCCTACCTGGTTTGAGTGGTTTTCTTCTTGGCTTTACTCAGTTGCTGCTTTTCAGCTCTGCTTTGATTCTTTGCTGGGCTAATCCTCTACAGCACTGGGGGGGACATACTCACTGGGGGGGACTTACCCATGCTCATTCTTCCTGAGAAGTGGAGCAATATCGATCTGAGAAGCCACCAGTGCAGCCTGTTCTACCAAAAGGCGTTGCTCACCCTCTCTGAGGACATTTCTGCTGCTTTCCAGCAGCTACCCAAAGCTCCCAGCTCCATCCCACGGCCGCACCAGCCCTGCCAAAACTACTTTGCTAATGTGTTTTAAATCGAAAACAGGAAGCCAGTTGCTCACTTGGCTGCCGACCTGACGTGAGGGACCTGCTACATGGACCCAGGGGAGATGTCGTTGCTCATTGCATTACGTTCAGACAACACAGGGGCTGGCGGCTTTGGGTGAGCACCAGAAATCCTTGCACACCTTAAAAACAAGTCCTACGAGGACAGTGCGTCGGTGACCACGCTCACACCTACCTACTCCATCCTTGCAGAGAAAAAAACGTAAGGTGTTTCAGAACAAGATTGTTGCTGACGTTGATGAGAGTTCCCGTAATGGTCCCTGGACATCTTCCAGTGGGATGAGATCACTGGCTGAGAAGTCCTTCAGGAGCTTTGCAAAGCTGAGAGAGGGTTTGCCCCTCTCTGCAGCTGGTGGTTCTGGAGAGCTGCGAGGGGAGACTCGCTCAGGCTCCCGGTAAGAGGAGGGAAGATGCTCCATAGCCAGCTCCAGCTCCACAACTTCCAAACTCAGATTTTGGCTGTGGAGGAACTTTATACCAGGAAGAAGGAAATTGGTCTAATCCACCTCCCTGCTTAGCCAGGAGAGTGGTAAATCTTGTGTTTTAATGGTTTGGCCACACGCTCAACAGCGAGAACGTTCTGGGAGTTCTCTGCCTGGATCTATTACCGTGTGCCAAGGACCTTTTACTGCTTCTAATCTTCTCCTCATCATTTAACGGCTCCCTCCGGTTACGGGGTGAATCACCAGGAGGTGTAACGTCACCGCACGCCACCCAAAAACGGAGCTCGCCCTTCCTCTCCAGCAAAATATCCACAGTCTGCAGCACTTCGTGGGAAGTGGGAGCATCTTCAGGTGCTGAGATGGTCACCAGGGATGAACCGAGGGTGACAAGTCCAGGGCCCTGCACTGGTTGACTAAGGAGGGCATCTCCTCCTCGCCTGTCTGAGCCTGCGCAGAGCCAGTGTGGGCTGTGGCTGTCACCGTGTCAGCGCCAGGCTCTCTGGGACACTGGTGTCCCCCACCCGCGCCAGGTTTTTTGCAGAGCATTTAACCACCAGGAAACCAGCGGGTGGGAGTAGAAGCTGGGCTGGGGCGAGCAGAAGGGCAGGCGTGGGTGTACCTCCCTGACCTGCTCTAGATTTTCTCTGCTGTCAGAGTCCCGCGGAAGCTGGAACCCATACATTTGTAGGAGCTACAAATAAATCTTCCCCTGAGCCATGCTCCAAACCACTGTTTGAGCTACACAAATGGTGGCCACCCCTGGTCTCAGCAATTCTGCTAACGATGCAGCCAAGCCATCTGCAGGAGGAAGCATCCCACACCCCCTTCTCCCGCTCCAGGGCTGGCTCACCCTCAGCTCCCCTCCTCTGCTCGCTCCGACCCATCCCAGAGACACAAGTAGGAGCTGTGTCCCTTCTTGAAGGACACTTTTCTGAACCGATTTTGAGGAAGGAGGCTTTAAGGAGCTGCATTTTCTCCCCGTCAGGTCCCACACACCGTTCCACGTCAACCTCACTTGCTCCCTTCTCTGTCTCACCCAACCCATGCGGACAACATCTGCAGCATCGCAAGCCGTGATAAACCAAGCTGTTTTCTTTGGATGCTGTTCCATTTTAATAAATAGATGATACAACGGTGCCAAATCTGCACATCAGGGCTCAAGAGAGAAGGGTTACGTTCCAGGGCCGAGGCTCCCCATGGCAATACTGAGACACTGGAGCAGTTTCTCAGGCTGGCAGCCGTGGCTCTGACCTTCTCAATTGTTGCAGGGTCTTTGTATCACTATCAAACGGACACCGAAACCCAAGGAAAACTGCCCATAGACACTGAATTACAAGCTGTGGATACGGCGGGGATTTAATCCTCTTTAGTCTTTAGCTTTTTGTGAACATGTTGGTACCTCATTTAGTTCTGGAGAACCACTGCTGGTGTAAAAGCAACCTCTGCCTTGCCGCTTCCTCTCTTGTAGGAAACCGCTTCTGTAGGAGAGCACAAGATACAGAACATAATCCCTGTGTCTTAATACCATCACGCATGAGTCACTCAGACAAATCAAGTAGCCAGCTGCATTACTGCTCAGCAATTCAAAGACTCGTTTCATGCTTGACAGGAGAAAACATTGCACGGACTGGCCACCCTCCCTCCAGTAGACATGGAGGGAAATGAGACGGGATGAGGAGCTCCTGGCTTGGCCATGGTCACTGCGGGCAGAGCGCTTTCTCCAGTGCCAGGTTTGTGGTTGGACTTCGGTGGGACTTCAAGCAGAGCGTTTCTTCCTTTCAGCAGCACCCCTTCTACGTGGTCTTGGGCACAATTTGGAGAAGAGATCTCACCGAGGGATCGAAGTCCTCTCTCTCCCTGAGTGCCTGCTCGCTGGCTGTGCTCTTACAGCTCGGCACGGGACCTCTTCAGACTTTACGCGGAACACTTGAAATAAGAGGGGAAAAAATAGTGAGTCCACTGACTTTTAATCCCTGCTTTCAACTTCTTAACTCTGCTGCCTGCTACATTTTCATTCCAGGGACAAGTAGTGAGATGAGATACACTACAAAATGTCCACCTCCAAGTAGAAACCACAGCCATGCTCCTGGATGATGATCCTTGAGGAGCACGAAGGGCATAGCGGTGCCAGGAGCCCAAATTCACCCCCTGCTTTCAACTTCTTAACTCTGCTGCCTGCTACATTTTCATTCCAGGGACAAGTAGTGAGATGAGGTACACTACAAAATGTCCACATCCAAGTAGAAGCCCCAGCCGTGCTCCTGGATGATGACCCTTGAGCACAGCGGTGCCAGGAGCCCAAATTCACCCTCCTTTGGTGGAGAACTTGTGCTGGTTGGTTGGACACGGGGACTTTATAGCGTTACCAGCAAAGGCTGTAACGGAGGCAAAATGACAAGAAGTCCATTGGCAATTTTAGTTCAGTTACAGAGCTGCCAGAGGCTGTCACACTTGTGGCCACAACAGCGTTTTGCTAGGGCTTACGAGCGGAGGATTTCCCAGAAAATCTGTATCCCCAGTGCTTCACAGGAACAGCTATTCCTCCTCTTCTACCTTCCCAGCATCATTTCTCACTTTGAGAGGTGGATTTGGATCACAAAGATGATCAGAAGGCTGGAGCACCTCTCCTGTGAAGACAGGCTGAGAGAGTTGGGGGGTTCAGCCTGGAGAAGAGAAGGTTCCAGGGAGACCTTGTAACAGCCTTCCAGTCCCTAAAGGGGCTCCAGGAAAGCTGGGGAGGGACTCTTGATCAGGAAGGGGAGCCCTAGGATGAGGGGTGACAATTTTAAACTGAAAGAGGGGAGATTTAGATGAGATACTAGAAAGAAACTCTTTGCTGTGAGGCTGGTAAGAGCCTGGCCCAGGTTGCCCAGAGAAGCTGTGGCTGCTCCATCCCTGGAGGGGTTCAAGGCCAGGTTGGAGGGACTTTTCCTTCCACACATGAACTACCAGGCATTTACTGACACGGCATCATATCACCCCCCGACTCAGTGTCACCCAGCCCTCCCGCTGCTCTCCGCAGGCGGTTTCTACTTTAACTGCCTTGAGTAATTCTTTATCAACAGCATCAGGTTTGTGCCGATAAGGGGGCAGGATATGGGGTGGTGGCAGAGCAGGCAGGGACCAGCTGAGCTCAGGGAATCCCTCCTGGGGCTCAGCCTCCGAGCTGCACAGACCAGAGAGGTTTGGGGGTTCCTGTCTCTGTAGAAGTGCCGACCCAAGCTGCTCTGAAGCGGTTTTGATTTCCTGTTGGAGGAGGGTGACGCTGGGACGTGGACTTTGACAAATTTGTCTCCAGGGTCGGCGTGAAGTCAGCTTGGCATCTGCCAGAGCCCTGGGATGGCTCGGGATGGACTGTCCCCGCTCTGGGCAGTGGCTGGTACGAGGGGGAAACCTCCAGCCGAGCTCTCCTTGGCACAGACACAATCCTCCCACCCCCAAATAAATACACCAGGCGCTTGCTTTCTCTTTACCTTTGCTTTGACAGCGGGGCAGGGGCCGTGTTGACGTAGTCTGGCTCCTCGTCCGTGCTTTCTGCCTGCATGGATGTGCCTGAGGATGGGAAGCACTGGTCAGGAAAGGGGGTTGATCTCAGAACACGTACACACCTTGCACACCCTCTGCCCTCCTGCCAATATTCAGCCGACACACTTTGGGCTAAGAAACCTCAGATGACAGCATCAAGGTCTCCTAGAAGGGGCTTCAGAGAGGTCGCAGCAACTTTGCAAACACTCTGCGAGCAGTGAGCCTGGACAGCTTTTCGGAGCCAAAAGAGACAGATTTAGATTTAATCTAGAGAGTGCACAAACAGGATAACGAGAATCAGTTTGCTTCGGCAGCTTCCACAGCAGAGACGGAAAGCTCTTAAATATATTTTAGTACCTTCACCACTGTCTCCCGGGCCAGACTCCCCCCTGCGCTGCACAGGAAGCCACACGTTAGATTAAACTGCTGTTTAAAGGTTAACTGAAGAAATGTGTACCCCCGATGACTGCAGGAGAGCTGCTGGGTGACCCACTGGGTGTCTGTGCTGTGCATTTCCTTGGCCAAGGGGATCACAAGGCTGAGCTTGCACCAGGGCAACTTCAAAACGTAAGAGGATCTAAGACATGAAGAGCCCTGTTCTTCTGCAGCATCCCATGGCCAGGGCTTATCGAACCATAGAATGGTTAGAGTTGGAAGGGACCTTAAAGATCATCGAGTTCCAACCCCCCTGCCCTGGGCAGGGACACCTCCCACCAGACCAGGTTGCTCAAAGCCCCCTCCAGCCTGGCCTTGAACCCCTCCCGGGATGGGGCAGCCACAGCTTCTCTGGGCTCTCACTACCCTCACGGCAAAGAATTTCTTGCTAATATCTCATCTAAATCTCCCCTCTTTCAGCGTAAAGCCATTCCCCCTCATCCTATTGCTCCCCTCCCTGATCAAGAGTCCCTCCCCATCTCTCCTGTTCCCCACCTGTTCCAGTGTCTCACCACCCTCATAGTAAAACATTTCTTCCTGATATCTAATCTGAATCTCTTCTCTTCCAATTTAAAACTGTTGCCCCTTATCCTGTCACTGCACTTCCTGACAAAGAGTCCCTCTCCAGCTCTCCTGTAGCTCCCTTCAGGTATTGATAGGCTGTTATAAGGTCTCCCCGGAGCCTCCTCTTCTCCAGGCTGAACAACCCCAGCTCTCTCAGCCTGTCCTCACAGCAGAGGTGCTCCAGCCCTCTGATCATCCCTCGTGGCTTAGGCGCAGCCACCTACATGGTGGCCTTTCAAGTACTACAAACAGCACGTCCCACCAGAGCAGCATTCAGTTACAAGTGTCTGTAGCACGTTGCCTTAGATGTTCGTCATGGACGATTGGGGGTAAAAAAAAACCAACTCAAGACGGGGGCGATGGCTGCGTTGCCCTGAGCAAGGTCTGTACTGGTCATGGGCAACGGGCACCCTGCCCACGAGCCCCGTCCCTAAATATAAACAATTGCCAAGAACAACGTACCTCCTGCCTGCTGGAGTTTCCACGTGTGTATGGCCGGGCTGTTCTCGTAGTCTAGAGCGTCATCTGTGATTAAGAAGAGTTTGGACAGGATGATGCAGAACAGCAAAATGGACTAAAAACAGACATTTGTGGAACCCCCCCTCCCACCGCCGGCCGCCCCGCGCACGTGGCTGAGTTTCCAGCCGGGTGGCTGCCGTCCTGCCCCGTGTCTGCTGACGCTGCCTCATCGCTTCTCCAGCCCTGACCACAGGGATCAGACTGGTCACAGAATCACATGGGGTTGGAAGGGACCTCTGGAGATCATCTAGTCCAAGCCCCTGCCAGAGCAGGGCCACCCAGAGCAGGTTGCACAGGAACGTGTCCAGGTGGGGTTTGAATGTCTCCAGAGAAGGAGACTCCACCACCTCCCTGGGCACCTCTTCCAGGGCTCCGCCACCCTCACAGGAAAGAAGTTACTCCACATGTTTAGGTGGAACTTCCTATATTCAAGTTTGTGCCCATTTCCTCTTGTCCTGTCACTGGGCACTGCTGAAAAAAGACCAGCCCCATCCTCTTGACACCCTCCCTTGAAGGTGCCTCTCATAAGAGAGATGCTCCAGGCCCCTCATCATCTTTGTAGCCTCTGCTGTCCCCTCTCCAGCAGTTCCCTGTCCTTCTTGAACCAAGGAGCCCAGAACTGGTCCCGGAGCTCCAGGTGGGGCCTCCCCAGGGCAGAGCAGAGGGGCAGGATGACCTCCCTCCACCTGCTGCTCACACTCTTCCTGATGCCCCCCAGGATGCCATTGGCCTTCTTGGCCACAAGGGCCCATTGCTGGCTCATGGTCATCCTGTTGTCCACCAGGACTCCCAGGTCTTTCTCCTCAGAGCTGCTCTCCAGCAGGTCCGCACCCAACCTGTCCTGGTGCATGGTCCCTGCTGCCCCTGCTCCTCCATACAAAGCTGGGCAGGAGCAGGGCAGGCTTTGGCAGCATTGTGTGAATTCGCTGAAGGAAACCAGCCTGACTTCCTATTGTGATTGCAACATCCCAGGACAGAAGCTGGAGGCCTTTAAACAGACACTTGCAACATCCCAGGACAGAAGCTGGAGGCCCTTGAGCAGACACTGTGGTCCAACATCGTCCTCCAGTGGCCCAGGCCTGCAGTCTTCTTGGGCTGGGCAGAGTGGGGGCTCAAACCATGGTCAGTCTTGGCTGTAACAGCAGTGAAAGACCTGGAGAAGCAATGCAGACCCCAAAGCTCCTGAATTGCTGCAAAAATCTCCCAATGAAAGGAATCAGCTCAGAGGTGAGCATTGGTTGGTAAGGTATCACTGTGTGCATTTTCCCTGCAGAAAGGGGAGATGTTCCACCTCTCCTTTGTGCCTGTGGCAGCCCCTGCCCCTCGGCTCCACCAGCACGGAGCTGATGGGAAGAGCTGAGCCTGCGGATGAGGGGGGTTTCCCTCTCCTGAGCAGATCCCTGTCCCTCTCTGCACTTCCAGATACATTTGTGGAACACACACGGACCATGACAGCAGCACACCCACCTGGATCGGAGCCCTGAGACACTCCAATGATGACGTTTTGATAGGAATGGGAATCCTCCTCTTTCTCTGGTGGAGAGAAGACAGAGATGGGAAAAAAAGGGCTTAAGGAAGAGTGGGTGACCTGGGAAGACCCCTCAGCACCTGCTTCCCACAACAAAATGCACATTAGCTAAAAATTGTCAGTCTCGGGGACAGCCTGCGCTGACCCAGGGATGGGGCATCCCCAGCACAGTGAAATGGGGCCACCACTGCCCCACGGGAGCACCGTCACCGATGCCATGGGGTGTTGACTGAGCCTCTCCAGCCATGGAGCCACCCAAGGGTGAGCAGCCAAAGCCAGTCCTGAGGGACCATGACTTCTCTTATGAACAGGAATAGAAGCCCTCATGACTTCTCTTATGAACAGGAATAGAAGCCCTTAATCATAGAATCACAGAATCGTCTAGGTTGGAAGGGACCTTAAAGATCATCTGGTCCAACCATCAACCTAACTCTGACAAAAAAAAAAGAAAAGAAAAAAACAAACCGCTAAACCATATTCCTGAGGACCATCTCAACCCGTCTTTTGAACACCTCCAGGGATGGTGCCTCAACCACTTCCCTGGGCAGCCCATTCCAATGTCTGATAACCCTTTCCGTGAAAAAATTTTTCCTAATATCCAAGCATAATTAAGCATAATTACTAACCCTACAGCAGCCCCTGAGGCGAACAGGGGGCGGGCCAGCTCCAGCAAGAGGTGAATGCCCAGGCTCCCAGCCCAGGGCAGCAGTCGGGAGGGGGTTTTCCTTCCCACTGAGCATTAAGCTTGTGACTGTGGTGCCTTCTTGGGCTTATTCTCAGTTTCTGGGAAGTAACTGAGCCCCAGTCCAAGCACAACATCTGTCTGAACACAGTACACAAACCTACTAGCACATAGAACAAAAATCTGCTTAAAATAATAATTAAAAAAAATAAAAATGGTTGTTTCAGCTCTCTGGACGGGCCCGTGAGCAGCTGAGCTACTGGAGTCCCTGTGTTGCTGACCTCAAAACCTGCACCCTCCGATGCTGACACCCAACAGTCGGTGTGGTCACACTGGAAGAGCCTGCAGAGAGCTAAGCTGCTGCCCACCCTGCTTCTCCAGGGCTTCTCCAAAGCCTCACCGAAGGGGAGAAGCACTGAGTGCAGGTACTTGAGGTTTTTCTTTCTTTTTTCCCCACCCTTTTATTTTTTTTAAATAAGATATATTTTTTTTTTTAGTAAGCAAAATATTTCTTCTCTTTTTTCCAGTCTCTTTAACTAAAAAAAATTGGATTCATGTTTTTAAACTCATTTTAGACAAAAATAGATTGATGCCTGAGTCAGCACAGAAAAATGCTGAGTACCCAGGGAGGTAAAAACATTTCATAGATGCAATATTTGCCCTGAAAAGACGCATTTGAATGGAGCAGTGTATTTCACCCGCTTTTTTCCAGTCTCTTTAACTAAAAAAAATTGGATTCATGTTTTTAAACTCATTTTAGACAAAAATAGATTGATGCCTGAGTCAGCACAGAAAAATGCTGAGTACCCAGGGAGGTAAAAACATTTCATAGATGCAATATTTGCCCTGAAAAGACGCATTTGAATGGAGCAGTGTATTTCACCCGCCTTCATTCACCAGCCTATAAACCAAGCACACAAAATACTGGAAGGTGTCCCTTTGTTAAAAAGCTTCTGGACAAGGACTTGCCCTTTCCCACACGTCTGGGCAGGACCCCATGGGGCTGCAACCTCCGCTCACCCAAACCAGATGGGCCACGAGCAGGAAAACAGCTTAATTACCCCGAGCAATGGATAATTTGTTGAAACAGAGCACGAACAAAGCGTTTTGTGCAGTTGGAGCCGTGGATATATTTGGGCTGTCCTGTTTATAGCCAAGGGATGGACAGATTAGGGCCTGGACATCCCTTGAGACCCAGGGCTCCACTACATCCCTTAACGAACGTGTCTCCTGGACCCACACTGGCTTCAGGCTGTGTGACAATAACGCAGAGAGCCAAGCAAGAAAAGCCTCCTGGGTTCCCTGGAGCCACGGAGGAGCCAGGCTGGTGGCTGGAGAAGAAACCCCTCTTGCTGGCATGGAACCTTACCGTTGGGTGGTGCAGAGAACCTGACACAGTTGTAGTAATCCAGAGATATGGGCTCCCTGCGAGAAGAACAGCCACCATTAGCTCCTCCAGGCAGCCCAGGGGATTCCCAGCCTGAGCTACAAGAGAGCCAGGACCACGCTGGGACCAGTACAGCTCTGCTTGATGATGCCCACGGGCAGCAACCTGCTACTTACACGTAGGCAGCGTCCCCTCGCAGGCAGTCCTCTGCAAGCACAAAGGGTTTGCTGTCAGCCCACCATGCCACCGAGTGAACTCAAACCACCATCCCAAAGCAGAGCCAGAGGAATCCCCCAGTGCAGCTACAGCAGATGGCCCCGGCAGCCAGAACACAGCAGAGCCAGAGGAATCCCCCAGTGCAGCTGCAGCAGATGTCCCCAGCAGCCAGAACACGCCAGCACGGCCCCACCACCAGCAGAGCCACAGGGGAGGCTGGAGAAGGGGGAGGCAGCCCCCATCTACCCCAGCCCCTGAGAAAACCAGGGCTCACCACTTCTCCTGGGCAGGTCCTGCCAGCTGGCAGGGAGATGGGGAATATCCTCCCCGGGTTTGGGAAAGGAGAGCACAGCCCCACGCACCAATAATCCTCTTAGGGTGAGCGCCGGGAGCATCCTGAGCATCCCGTCCCCCTCTGGTAATCAGGTCAGAGCACGTCTTTATAGAGCAATCACTAAATTAACCCAGCTGGAGCTCCACCAGCTGCAGTGTTGTCTCTCATCCCTGGTGACCTCCCATGGCTTCAGCTTCCATCCCTCCCCACACCCCCAGGCCCACGGCCCCAGGATTTACCTGTCAGGAAATTCTGGTACCTGGGCTCGCTCCTGCTCCCTGGGGAAAGCAGAGGGACACGTTACGCTCAGGCAGAACCATGAGAGCCATTTGATGATGGAGCCACTAACTCTTATGGCATCACCACTCTGCCCTGCTCAGCTCTTTGCTTGGGGCCGGGGGACAGGGCTGCAAGGTCAGACACCCCAGGGCAGAGGCGCTGGGACAGCCAGGGATGATATTGTAAATAATCTGGCACCGTGGCTCTAACTGGGACTGCTCAGCCATAGCAGCACGAGCACTGGAGTTTAAATTTGGATCCAGGCTAGTTCCCAAGGATCTTAAGTTCTCCCAGCTCTGGGGTCCCCAAAGCAAGAAGGACATGGACCTGTTGGAGCTGGTCCAGAGGAGACCACAAAGATACTGGGAGGGCTGGAGCCCCTCTGCTGGGAGGGGGGGCTGAGAGAGTTGGGGGGTTCAACCTGGAAAAGAGAAGGCTCTAGGGGGACCTTAGAGCCCCTTCCAGTCCCTAAAGGGGCTCCAGGAAAGCTGGGGAGGGACTCGTGATCAGGAGGGGAGCCATAGGATGAGGGAGAACAGTTTTAAACTGAAAGAGGGGAGATTGAGATGAGATCTCAGGAAGAAATTCTTTGCTGTGAGGGTGGTGAGAGCCTGGCCCAGGTTGCCCAGAGAAGCTGTGGCTGCCCCATCCCTGGAGGGGTTCAAGGCCAGGTTGGAGGGGGCTTGGAGAAACCTGGTCGGGTGGGAGGTGTCCCTGCCCAGGGAAGGGGGCTGCAACTAGATCATCTTTAAGGCCCCTTCCAACCCAAACCATTCCATGATTAAGTGTCACTGGGCAGACCAGCCACAAGCCTCGTGGGTAGGTGCTAATAACAGCAGTTAATTTTATCCTCACCCAGCTTGTTTCCAGGATAACCCCCACCCTGCCCTGCCTGGGGTCCCAGCAGTGAGTAACCAGCCTCTCAGGGGCTCCATCTTCCCAAAACCAGTGGGAGCTCCCAGCTGGCACCCACACAAACGAGCCAAGATTTGCAACATCCCCATTTATGAATTTTGCAGTAGGTGCTTCCCCCGTGGCTGTGGGGATGGAGAGAGCACTGAACGGTGCCCATCATGGGGGGATGCTCACCATATCCCGCGCGGCGGGAGGCACTGGGCTGCTCCGTGGTTTTCCTGAAAGAGGGAAAATTCCTGAAAATCCCAGGTCGGAGCAAACCCTACCAGGGGTTACAGACCACAGCAATGACTAAGCCAGAAGGACTATCTGTGAAACCTCCCCGTGACTTTATACAGGAAACACATCAAGCAATGAGGGAATGAAGAGTTTGGGGTCAAATCCCAAGATGGGAATATCAATGCCTGAATATTGCAGCAGGGTTATTGCGGCCGTGTAGTTTTTGGGTGTTTTGGTGATAGGAAAAAGGGGATTTCTCAGGTCAAACTGCTCGTAAGCAAAGAATGGCCATTTCTTTTTCATGATGTACCTATGATGGACAGCCACAGCTCATTTCCTCGGGTTCGATTTAAATGGCTGCCAGTAGAATGCAGTCAGACCGAAGAAAATCTAGAAAAAGTTACTATAATCAACCATAAATTAAGCAACCTGACCAAGTTGAAAATGTCCTTTAAATGGCTGCCAGTAGAATGCAGTCAGACTGAAGAAAATCTAGAAAGTTACTATTGACCATCAAGAAATTAAGCAACCTTAAGCAACACAAGTTGAAAATGTCCCTGCTCATTACAGGGGGGTTGGACTAGATGACCTTTAAAGGTCCTTTCCAACCCAAACTATTCCATCATCCTGAGTATACCCCAAACCACATCTATAGGGTCCAAAACCCAATCCCAAATCCCAAACATTCCCGTATGTTGCGTGAACTTCATCTGACCTTGGCTCCACAGTGAGGTTTTGTTAGGGTTTTTTTAACCTACCTTGCTATTGATGAGTTCGCAGTTTCCTTAATTTGATCCAGCCTTCGGGTCGTACCTAGCACCAAGAACAAAATGAGATGTTAATGGCAAATCCCAAACATTCCCGTATGTTGCGTGAACTTCATCTGACCTTGGCTCCACAGCGAGGTTTTGTTAGGTTTTTTTTTAACCTACCTTGCTATTGATGAGTTTGCAGTTTCCTTAATTTGATCCAGCCTTCGGGTCGTACCTAGCACCAAGAACAAAACGAGATGTCGATGATTACAGCAACAGCAGGGCATCCACCAGAGAGGATTCCCAGGTTTCCCATTTTTCCAGGATTCCCATTTTTCTAATGCATCCCAAAATAGCTTCCAATTCATTCACTCGAAGCACATAAATGGCCCAAATGGGAAACTATAAATAAGAGGCAAAGCTGATTTTGGTGCAGACCACAGAGTGAGCAAACACGCAGCGGAGGAAGCTACGATCCCAACTGCTGATTAATTTCCTATTCTACCCCAAACCATTTTGATTTGGGAGATTCTCTCCACACCGCGAGATGCCCCGGTGATGTCGTGAGCTTTGGTCAGGCTGGGCTGAAGCAAAGGCTCGTGGTGGGGTTTGTGGGGCCGAGAGTGGTCCCAGGGAGAGGGACGTCCCCGCGGAGCCCGTCTGCGGAGGGTGACATTTAACACAGACCCCGTCAGCAGCTCGTTTCAGGATGAAAATCAAAAGGTCAGCGCCAAACCCGACTTGCCGCAGGAAGCAGAAAGAGGGTGATGATAAATGAGTCACTCCCATCGATTCGGGTTCCCCCACAATGTTGTTTTCACAGGGTGAGGGGAGTTGTTTGAAGAGCTTGTGTTATTGAGGCGTTGCAGTTCAATGACACGGCTTCGGTGATTTATTTTCAGTGCAAAGGGAGATTTTTTTCCTAGAGCTCAGAATTCGCATCGCTAGAAGCATCTACGGTGGCTTTGACATCTCGGTCTAACACAATTTCACCGCCCAGGCTTCCAGGTCACCCTTTTATTTTAACTTTCACCCCGTTCTGTGCACACAGGACCCCCACCCCCGTGACGCAGGAGCCCCACGAACCGTTCATACTCACTGGAATAGGATCGGATCACCTCAAAACTCTGCTGGCTTTCATGCCTGGAAAAAGCAGAGGCACAACCTCAGCCAAATTTTGGGGTCTGTGCCAAGAAAAACAGAGAGCTCCCTGTTCGGTGAGCAGAGGGAAGGGAGCGCAGGCTCCACACTGGGCTTGGAGAAATGCTGAGTTGAGTCAGGCAGGACCCACACGAGTGGGGAGCAGTTTCCCCAGACTCCTCTTTGACCCTTGAAAGTCAAGATGTGCTTATGGACCACTGGCAGAGCAGCCAGTGTCAGCTCAGGGAAGGACCCAGGGATGAGGAAGACGTTCAGGGTAATTCTCACTCTAACAAATTATGCAAGGGTTAAGACCAGAAGAGCATTTTCACCCACAAAAAAATGAGTGTTCACCCATGAAATGGCTTCAGGCCCCACTGCTTCACCTCTACTGTTGTCCCCACCCCCCCAACATCCCTTAACATTCAGATGAAAAAAATAACAAACGTGATCAACAATAAAAATAGCATTTATGTCAATAACCTCGTTACTTTTTAGTTTACAGGAGAGCTGCTCTTCAAAGCACGACAAGATTCAACCACTCTTCTACTGCAGGTGACCACGGGCACTTACTAACTGATTTTGGGAGCCTGAAAGTGTCCCTTTCCCCCTTCCCCTTTCATTTGGGTGACCCCCCCCATCTCAAACCGGTATTCACAGCTCCAGGCTGGTGGGGAGATGAGGCGACCGGCAAGGGACCTCACCGCAAAGCCTGCAAATATAGACTTAAACCACTCTGCTCACTAAAGGCCCGAAACTAACCCAAAACAGATCTCCAAAAAGAGCACACGATACCACAGGTCTGAAGTCAAACCGCCCAACCCAGGTATAAATCTCAAGAAGTGGGGACAATTCAGGACGAGGCCGTGGGGGACGGAGCCTGTGCTGGCTTCTCCATGGGTTCTCCGATGGCCAACACCAAAGCCTTTCCCTGGCCCAAGGCAAGCGGGCGAGAAGGGAACACCTCAACCCCATGGAAGCCTTCACAGATCCCCTCTGCACCACGTTTACTCCTATATCAAAGGTTACAAGCCAGCTTTTTTCTTTTTTTTTTTTTTTCTTTTAATATAATTTAGCTGTGGTTTGTCTGTTGCTGAAGGAAATAGGGGGGTGTTCGTGTGTGTGAAATGCATTTCCTTCACTGCCTGTGCTGCGGGTCGGTGGTTCCTCTGGCCCAGGGTCCCACCAGCACCAGCCAAGGGCAGGGTCTCCTTTATGAAGTTACCAACCTCTCTACCTCACCTCGGGGCCGGGATAAGGACTTGCCCTTCCGATTCTCCCAGACTTTTTTCCAACTGGTTAATGACTCACAGGCATCACAGGCAGAGCTTCAGTTTCATTTCGGATTATTCTTTCTAAAGGCATTAACCCTTTCAGCAACGCCCTCGGCTGGGGAACGCAGTCCTGCTCGCCCCATTCTGGGGTTATTTTATTTTATATAAATCCAGATTTTGGCTGTGAGGGGTGGAGCGGGTCTGGCCCTTGTCAGGGTCTCACCCCGGGCGAGCTGTTTGGGGGAGAAACGCGATTGTGAAAAGCAACTTACGGGCTCCTCCGCTCACTCGGCTGCTTCTCTCTCTTGGCACCTGGAAGACAAAGGGCAAAAAAAGCTCTCAGAAAAGGATGATTTGAGAATTAATAAAACACATTCACAAAACTTCTTCAACTGGGAGAAGAGGACAGCAGAGGCAGCTTCAGCAGTTGCGATAGGTTTTATTTTTTTAAACCATGTCCAAAGCGCAGTAATTGTCCTCAACACCACAAAACGAGCAAGACATTCCTGCCCCCAAAACCCCACCCTGCTCTCAGAGGTGGGCCTGAACCCCCACTGGGGTGGGTACTTGCCCCACTCCCTTTGTATTTAATATATATATATATGATATACATTCCGTGCCTCTCCGCCCCAGAGCCTCTGCAGGATCTGTGCATCCAGAGATGCTCCTCTTGGGTGGAGCATCCAAAGCCACCCACCACGGTGCCCATGGAGAAGGGTCTGCAGTCCGTGGGGCCAGGAAACACCTCAGGGGAAGGGGTGCTGCAAGGTCTGGGGGTCTTTCTCCCCCTGGCCACCAGCAGAGACCTTTCCCAGCTCAACCTGCTGGGAGCATCCCATGTGGACAAAGCTCTCCATGGCCCAGCAGGACCAAACCCACCGGAGGGGACATCCCAAGGGGAAAGAGCCTGCCCAGTGTGACCCCCCCAACCCAAGCCCAGCCCGGGAAGGACCTTACCAGAGAGTTGGCACTTGATGCAGAGGCTGATGGTGGCCCCGAGCAGCATCAGCGCGGCGGCTGCCCACAGCAGCTCCAGCTGCACCATGGCCTGGCCTCATCCAGCCTGAAACACAGGGTGAGGGGAGCCCCTGAGCACGGGGGGGCTTCGTACCCACCCCTCAGGGAGCCTTTACCCCCAAAGAGCTGGGGTTTGCTGAGGATGCTGAAGAGACTTCAGGGCTGCAGACACACCGTCAGCCCCAGGAGGACCCGAGGAGACCCCAGCATCCACCTTGGTACCAAACCTCCGTATCGCTGCCAGGAAGGAGAGGAGCTCATGGCTTTTCAGCACACGGAGGAAAAACCCACCTGGATTTCCTCACTCCCCATCCCCTAACCCACGTTGCTGTCATCAAACACCATCCTCAGATATTATTTTTTAATACTCAGAAGGGAGGCACTCAGAAATATTCAGGACCTTCGTACAAGGCTCTCCCGTTGCTTCCCCGCAGCGTGGAATTGCTTTAAATGTTAAATTCCACACACTTTTTCCTGCGTTGGGCTGGCTCAGACACCAGCTCTTCCCCTCCTTTCCATGACAGGCTCTTCCACAAACAGCAGCTAACATTTTGTAATAATCAGCATGATTTGGCTCCAATTTCTTCCTTTAAAATACAAAACATCCTATAAATATCACAGAAACCAGCCTGCTGGGACTAGGAAAGATTGTTTAGCCCCTTCCTATTCCCCAGGGCCAAGTTTCCTTTACTTTCAGATAGTTTTAATTTATTTTTGTTTTGAATAAACTCCTTTGGCCCCGAGGGATGGAGATGCTTCAACTTGCCAAAGGCCAGAACTTCATTGCTCTGCCTGGTAGGAAGTTTTCCTGTCACCTATCCTGAATCTCCCTTATAACTCATGACTGTATTTTATTGGTGTAGCCACTGTGGATGAAGAAAATTATATATATATATATATAAAATTAACAACTAAAATAATTAAAAATCATTAAACAAATATCAGTAACAGACGATAGAAAACAGCAGCCCGATTCTGCCCTGCTCAGCACCTTCTGCCTCCACTTGTGTAAAGTGGAATAAATAACATTTTCCTGCCCAAACTGCGAGCCGCACCGACACCGCGTTCACATGGGAGAAAGCCCAAAGGTCTCAGTCCCAGTTCTACACCAGTGTCCTAACTGGACTGCCGAAGGGCTGCCTCCTCTCAGTGGTGCCCAAACACCCTCTGGCCACCCAAAAATGACCTTAAGGCCAGTGGGACATTGGCTTGATAGAGATACCTCTGCTTGTGAGAAACCTGGGGTTATTTCTCCTCCCTTCAAGGCTCCAGGGCTCACAGGGACACGGCAGCTCCCAGCACTCTCTCCAAAATGGTTTTGCTCTTATAGACCCCTGGGGACCTTCCCCTGCAGAGCTTCTTGCAGCAGATGAGTCATTTTAGGTTAACAACATGCCCAGACCTCCATGGACTCACCCCGGAGGGGTCGTATCAGCATCTTGGGACCAGCACCCCCAGCCGGGAGGTTGGGGATGGAGCCTGGTCAAAACCATGTGGTTTCTCACATCATTTTTCCTTGGCTTAACATCCCCCCTGGAAATCATGAGCTGTGGATCATCCCTACAGCATCTGCAAGAGGGAGCTAAGGGAAGTTGGCCCAACGTTGGTAACCGAAATTCATCATACAAAAGGTTGTAAAACATTACTGGTTTGTGGGGCTTTTTGGTTATTGTTTTGGGAGGGGAAGTTCCTCTCTCTCTTTTTTATTTTTCTTTTTTTTTCTTTATCTTTTTTTAAAGCACAGGCCAGGCAGAGCTGAGGGCACCTGACAACACTGACCTAGTTTGTGTCTCTGTAGGACAGAGCGTGTCTCCCTTCTAGAGACGGTTTTATTTTGGTGCCAACACAGCAAACCCAGGCTGCTCCTGAGCATCCCAGGAACACCAAAGGTGGGTATTTCCAAGGGTTGCCAGCTGGGCACATCCCATCCCATCCCATCCCATCCCATCCCATCCCATCCCATCCCATCCCCACCACCTTGTCCCCCAGGGAGAGAACCCCCAGGGACACCGGGTCAGGAGCAACACCACCAGCCTGGGGGGGGTCATCATTTGTCTTCACCACACACCCTGGAAATCCTTCCTTTTGGCACAAAACCTCCCCTCGTAAGGGGCTGTCGGAGGAAGGCGATGAACAGATTTATGACAAGCAGAAGGCTGGAGGCACTTACTCAACGGCTGGCGGGATATAAATAAAATATTTGGAGATCTGAACGTGCTTTCCCTGTTCTCCACCTTGGGGAGAGGGTGAGAAGGATGAACAGGCTGGAGCCACTGAGGGCTGTGACACACAGAGCAAACAACTTGCCCATCAGCCCCGCTTTCAAGATGCTGAGTTCAAACTCGGGGAGAAAACAGGTCCCCACCTCATTTCAGCTCTTCAGGAGTAAAATTCAGAGAGTGGCAAAACGCCCTCTTCTCTTTATAGGCTCCTCTCTTCTCCTTTTATATGGTTTGGGCTGTTTTTTTTTTCCCCTTTTTTGGGCCGGCAGAGGTTTCTCCTCGCACGAGGAAGCCGGTTTGGCCGCGGCGTGTGGCTCCTGCAGCCCCAGCACCTCGGCTGTGAAATCCCCTGGGAACAAATCCCAAATGAACCATCCCAGGGAAGAGTGAGACACCGGAGACCAGATACAGCGGTGATGGCCACAGCAGGGCCCCTCTCCTGCCAGAGGGAACCACGCCGTCCCCAACGGGGCTGCGCTTTTCGTGGCCTCGGGTATTTTTAGCAGTCAAAGAAACAAGTTTTGGTTTTTTTTTTTAAAGAAAAAAAAATAGGAAGAATTAATGAACTTGCAAAAGATCACTCGCTCCGTGCGTGCTCAGTCTCGGCAGCCCAGCTGCTGTGGGGAGGGTTTCTAGTCCTAAATTAAGGATTAAGCCCAGTAACAGGGCTCAGTGCACACAGCCAGGGGAAGGAGAGGATGTTTTATCGGGGGAGACTGAAAGATCTCTCGCTTTTAGGCGTACCTGGACATTCACTGCCCATCTCTCCGAGAGAAACACCACTAAATACTCTTTAAATTTAAATTAAGACAACGCTGGCATAAAAATGAATGGGTATAAGCTGGATACACACAGGCTAGAAATAAAATTCCTAACAGATGGAAAGTCTGGAAGAACTTTCCAACAGCAGCAGAAGCGGCAAAAATCTCCCTTAAAAACCCTTTAAGAGTACTTAAAATGCACTTGATTTTTTTTTTTTTCGCTGAAGAACCAGGAGAATGAGGAATGTGTCGATGTGGCACCAGCGAAAATGGCTGCTTTTCTGTCAGATCATTGCTGATGAAGTCATCTTAGCTCTTCGCAGATGTCAAGCCCACCCCCCCGAGTTCACTTCTCAAGACAAAGACTGAAATTGCAGGTTTATGTCAACCTATTTGTTAAAAATACATGCCCCAAAGGCAAATATAAAACAGCCTTTTCTCCCTCCCAGGTTTTGTGGTCTGCACCAGTTTGTAATAATTTAAGACTAATTCAGACTGATTGGATGAGTCACCGGCATGAAATATAAAGTGGAGAGTTTATTTAAAAAAACCTCGCCATATGAGATTTAGCACAGGGACTTGTTGAACAGATGCAATATTCAGCCTGACTCAATGTCTCTAACATTTCTAAGAAAAGAAACACCACTTTCTGTTTGTCTACGTTGCACAGATTGCCACAGAAAGTCCCATCGCTTCAGAAATTAAAGTCTCAGCCCAAGGAAGCTCCTGTTGTTGGAACCACTTCAACGACCAGCATTGATCCTCCAGGAAAGCTCCTTTCCAGAGGTCTGCACATCCCAGTTCCTACCAGATTTTATGCCAGTGTAACTTCTCTTAGGAAAGACAATACAGCATAGATAAAGTCTGGTTTGGTACAGATCTTCATGCTCGATGTTATGCCAGGGGAGCAGTAGATGCGTTTTGGTGGAACACAAGACAAGAGGGAAAACTGGAATTGACAAACCAACTTTAAGATAGATGATCACTTCCTAAAATGCTTAAAAAAAACCCCACCAAACTCAGGTGGAAAATACAGTGCAAAATCCTAACGACAACAAATATGGCAGCATAAGGAGGGGATTCACAGAAATATCTCCTGTTTGTCCTTAACCTCCCCCGTGCCAGCATCCCCCAGCCCAGGGGGACACCACATTTGGAGCTGCAGATATTGGCAACCCCGTCCCCAACGGGGCTGCGCTTTTCGTGGCCTCGGGTATTTTTAGCAGTCAAAGAAACAAGTTTTACACGCGTGTAACTGAGTACTCCCATGCAATCAACATGAGCCAACATCACACAAGATTACCCCGTAATTAACCCTTTTTGCTGAAGCATCTGCCTCATGGCCCAGCCACATTTGGAGCTGCAGATATTGGCAACCCACACACGTGTAACCGAGTACTCCCGTGTCCTCCAGAGCAATCAACATGAGCCAACATCACACAAGTTTACCCCGTAATTAACCCCTTTTGCTGAAGCGTCTGCCTCATGGCCCGTAATCCACTGACCATTGATCACAAGAGAAAAGTGATGCAAAGTCAAAGCTCTTTTCTGCCTGGGGTTAGTCACCGCAAGCGGTTATACGCAGTAAAATAAATATATTCATATACATGATGCCAGTCAGCCCTGAAACCAGTGGAAAACCCAGAAAGTGTAGTTGAAATCAGCTGTTTCACCAGATTGGGCTCTGGAGGGGGAAAGAGCACGAGCTGCAGCGGTCCCAGAAATTATAGGCAGGAGCCAGGAGCAGGACCAAACAGATAAGAGCAGCTCAGCTCAGCTTCAACCTTCCGGAATTTTTCAGTAGATCTGAGTGTAGAAATAACATAATTTAAAAAAAAAAAAAGCACGCAGTAAAATAAATATATTCATATACATGATGCCAGTCAGCCCTGAAACCAGTGGAAAACCCAGAAAGTGTAGTTGAAATCAGCTGTTTCACCAGATTGGGCTCTGGAGGGGGAAAGAGCACGAGCTGCAGCGGTCCCAGAAATTATAGGCAGGAGCCAGGAGCAGGACCAAACAGATAAGAGCAGCTCAGCTCAGCTTCAACCTTCCGGAATTTTTCAGTAGATCTGAGTGTAGAAATAACATAATTTAAAAAAAAAAAAAGCCATAGGATGATAGAATGGTTAGAGTTGGAAGGGACCTTAAAGACCACCTAGTTCCAACTCACCCTGGGCAGGGACACCTCCCACCAGACCAGGTTGCTCAAAGCCCCATCCAGCCTGGCCTTGAACCCCTCCAGGGATGGGGCAGCCACAGCTTCTCTGGGCAACCTGTTCCAGGGTCTCACCACCCTCAGAGGAAAGCTGTGGCCACGCTGCCATCAGCAGATGTAAAGAGCAGTACCATAAAATGGGCAATCTGGGTTGTATGGGACAGACTCTCCCCTTGGGTCCAGAGGGGTGTAAGTGCTGCTGGGAAAGGATATTTGGCAGTTTTCCTACCTTGGAGCTCGTTGGGTGATGGCCATGAGCAGCAGCCAGGAGCAAGCTCCAGCACGTTGCATTTCAGAGGGATTTTGCAGGGGTGACCTTGAACTCTCTTGGAAGGGGTCACCGAGGTCTAGTCTCAGATCTCTGAGCTCACTGAAATCAGGAGGACACCCCACCTGCCCCAAAGCCTTCAGAGGAACCCCCTGCACCCCCAGGATCCTTTCCCTCCCTCTCTCCCACCTTACCCACAGCCTCAGCCGCTCTCCCCCGTCTGTCCCATCTCCTCCTGCCTCTCACGGCCGCAGCCACTGAGGCTGGAGCCGGTTCCTCCGGGGCTCGTGAGCCAGTTTCTGGTTTCCTGTCATCATCTGAATCACTAACCCCAACATCCGCCGCTCGGCTGGTCAGCCCCTCGCCGGCTCATGAGAGGGACCCGGCACACACTCGCCCCCGGCAGCCGCGGGGTTTTTCTGCAGCGAGGAAGAGGAAGATGCTCGGGTGGCGAGGGACCACGCACGCCACCACGGCCCCTTCCCAAGCAGCCCTGGCTTCAGCTTCATGTGGGGGCTGCTGCCCCCCAAAAAAGTTCAAGTTTCCTCTTAAATTCCCAGGATTTAACACCACACACTGGAAGCGGCAGATGCTTCCTGGAAAAACTCCCAGCAGATGAAGCAAATAGCAAGTCCTCTCAGTTTTGGGTTTTTTTTACAAAAAAAAGAAGACATCTAGCCTCAAAAAGGCAGCAAATAGCCTGAGGTCACCACTGCTAACGGTGAAACCAGGAGCTCCTGTCCAGAGCAGTAAAAATAAAACTTTTTTATGCGTCAGCGGTGGCGGCTTGCAGATATCAGCCACAATTTCATTGTAGCCTGTAAAAAAAATTAAAATTAGTAGTTCATTAATGTTTTTTGGTGCTTGAATAGAATAAGGAGGACTTATGAATTATTGGGAATTTATCTGCTGGCTTAGAGCTCTGGTGTGGTACGTGAAATACGTGTCCTGCTGTAGGAATAGGAAACCCACAGGAACACCCCGCAGCTGGGTATATCTGTGGCTCCAGGAGAGCAACAGTCGGCCGGGTACAGGCTTTGCTGCCCCAAACTAAACCCCATTTCGTGCTGCCTCTCACTAAGGCTCCGCAGCATCTCTCTTACAAACAGCCACGTCAATTATTCCCTAAAGGAAATTCTGTTATATTTAAATGAGGGCACTCCCCAGCTGCCACAGCCAGTCACCTACGTCCCTCTCTCTCCGTGACAGAGGGCGACTCTTCTATTGTAAAAAAATGATAAAACAGCCAACTGTTTGCAATTTTTCATCTCTGGGATGGGAACGCTTTTTTTTTTTTTTTTTTTTTTTTTTTTACAAAAAAAAGATGACATCTAGCCTCAAAAAGGCAGCAAATAGCCTGAGGTCACCACTGCTAACAGCAAAACCAGGAGCTCCTGTCCAGAGCAGTAAAAATAAAACTTTCTTATGCTTCAGCGGTGGCGGCTTGCAGATATCAGCCACAATTTCATTGTAGCCTGTAAAAAAAATTAAAATTAGTAGCTCATTAATGTTTTTTGGTGCTTGAATAGAATCAGGAGGGCTTATGAATTATTGGGAATTTATCTACTGGCTTAGAGTTCTGTTATGGTACATGAAATACGTGTCCTGCTGTAGGAATAGGAAAGCCCACAGGAACACCCAGCAGCCAGGTGTAGCTGTGGCTCCAGGAGAGCAACAGTCGGCCGGGTACAGGCTTTGCTGCCCCAAACTAAACCCCATTTCGTGCTGCCTCTCACTAAGGCTCCGCAGCATCTCTCTTACAAACAGCCACGTCAATTATTCCCTAAAGGGAAATTCTGTTATATTTAAATGAGGGCACTCCCCAGCTGCCACAGCCAGTCACCTACGTCCCTCTCTCTCTGTGACAGAAGGCGACTCTTCTATCGTAAAAAAAATGATAAAACAGCCAACTGTTTGCAACTTTTGCATCTCTGGGATGGGAACGCTGCGATCAAGCTTTCAGAGGAAACTTCAATAAGCTACTTAACCACCGCACGGGCAAATATCTCTACACTTTCTCTCCTCCAGTTCTCACCAGAGGTGCGAAATGAATTGCCTGCCGGCCCCCCTCGGAGCCCTTCCCACAGGAAATCTGGGTGCAGAAGCCTCTCTTGAGATCTGAGCAGATACAATCGGAGCCCAAAACCAGAAGAGAGACACCCAGCTTCGAGGTGCTTGCAGGGTTTGTGGCTGCCCTCCACGTCAGGAATACTACAGAGCATGAAATGTCTGTGGCTCCAGGAGAGCAACAGTCGGCCGGGTACAGGCTTTGCTGCCCCAAACTAAACCCCATTTCGTGCTGCCTCTCACTAAGGCTCCGCAGCATCTCTCTTACAAACAGCCACGTCAATTATTCCCTAAAGGGAAATTCTGTTATATTTAAATGAGGGCACTCCCCAGCTGCCACAGCCAGTCACCTACGTCCCTCTCTCTCTGTGACAGAAGGCGACTCTTCTATCGTAAAAAAAATGATAAAACAGCCAACTGTTTGCAACTTTTGCATCTCTGGGATGGGAACGCTGCGATCAAGCTTTCAGAGGAAACTTCAATAAGCTACTTAACCACCGCACGGGCAAATATCTCTACACTTTCTCTCCTCCAGTTCTCACCAGAGGTGCGAAATGAATTGCCTGCCGGCCCCCCTCGGAGCCCTTCCCACAGGAAATCTGGGTGCAGAAGCCTCTCTTGAGATCTGAGCAGATACAATCGGAGCCCAAAACCAGAAGAGAGACACCCAGCTTCGAGGTGCTTGCAGGGTTTGTGGCTGCCCTCCACGTCAGGAATACTACAGAGCATGAAATGCTTTCTGACTGCTAAAGCAGCTGCTACAAAACCGGCATTTCTAGCAGAGGTCTTAGCTATGAAGTAGTTTATTAGGGGCTTTTTAGCAGGGTTTTTATGTGTGTATTTAAACAGAAGCTGACAGCAGAAGTTTTACAGGAGAGTTCCTTGCAGCAGAACCGATGCTCTGAACACGCCGGAGACAATTACAGTTTGTCTTTCGCAGCAGAAATCTCTCTCGTTAGGAACCGCCGCTGCTAAAAAGGCACCAGGCATTTGCTTACGGGTTCCCCGATGGGTCTCGCAGCTCCAGAGATGAGTCACTGCCGCGCTCGGGCGTTACCACCGTTGGCAGGGGCTGCAGCAGAGGCACCTCCTGTCAGTCCCCTCACCGTCTCCTGGATCCACACGCGGCTGCTTGGCTTCTCGAGAGCAGGGTGAGGATGTCGCCGTGGCCGGGGAGCAGCGCTGGGGTCACCCCTCGTGTGGGCAGAGCGATGCTCTTTGAAGACATCAGTCCTTTGGAGAGATCAACGCCCCCCAATTTCTAACGTTGAGGAGAAGGTTGGGGCCAGTCTTTTTTCAGTGGTGCCCAGGGACAGGACAAGAGGAAACAGGCACAAACTTGAACATAGGAAGTTCCACCTAAACATGGGGAGGAGCTTCTTCACTTTGAGGGTGGCAGAGCCCTGGCAGAGGCTGCCCAGGGAGGTGGTGGAGTCTCCGTCACTGGAGACATTCAAACCCCACCTGGACACGTTCCTGTGCAACCTGCTCTGGGTGGACCTGCTCTGCCAGGGGGTTGGACTAGATGATCTCTGGAGGTCCTTTCCACCCCCATACCATTCTGTGATTCTGTAACTACTGCAGTAACAGACAGTGGTACAGACACCCTCTCCCTTCTCTGTGTCCCTCACAAGAAGGGCTGGATGCAGAGGTTTGGATGAGAGCCTTCCCTCCGAGCACCCACCAACACAACCTGCTCTTCGTGGGGCCAGACTGCCCCCCCTCCCTGATGCACAGGCAACAACCCCCCAGACATCAAACCCAGCTTGTCACACCAGCCTTTGCCCACCCTCTCCCTCCTGCAACCCCTGCCCTTCACCCAGACCTGCTGCTAGAAACCACTTCTGGTCTCATAAAAGGTCAGAGGTGCATCACGCTCTTATCTACTGCAATAAGCTACATAAAATGCCACATTACGATTTCACCTTTCCACATCCATTTCAAAGCTCACTCATTTCAGCTTGGCTTTGTCTCCCCCCCCCTCCCCCCCATAACAAACACATACCACTTACTCCTTCAGATGGTTTCATCAACTAACCAAACCCTCTCTTTTTTTTTTTTTCACCTTTTGATACGCAACCAACCGGCTGTAGAAAGATCTCTTCAGGCCCAGAGATGATGTGAGACCCCAGCTCACCTGCTGGGGCTGGGAAACCAAATGCCCCATTTACATCCTTTCAGATCAAGGTGGGGTCTGCTCAGAGACCAGCTGGTTCTGCTGGAACCAGGTGCTGGGACTAACGCTGATCAGAAACTCTCAGTGAAAAGAGGGTTAGAAACCAGCGTATCATTTCAACCTGACCTTTCTAAAGGAACATGCCCCGTGCTGAAAGCTTTGAGGAAAGGTTCCTGAGCTCCAACAGGCTCTTTCTCCTCCTGAGCTTTGGGAGTCAGGCCTTGCCGACTTTGCAGGAGAGCAGCCTCCAAATCCCCCTTGCTTTGGGACCAGAACAAGCACACACCTCATCCCAACTGCTAATCACGGAATCACAGAACTGTCGGAGTTGGAAGGGACCTCTAGAGATCATCTGGTCCAACTCCCCTGCTAAAGCAGGATTGCCCAGAGCACATCACTCAGGAGCATCCAGGTGGGTCTTGAAGATCTCCAGAGAAGGGGACTCCACACCCTCCCTGGGCAGCCTCTGCCAGGGCTCTGGCACCCTCACCCAAAAGAAGTTCTCCCCCAGATTTGAGTGGAACTTCCCATGTTCCAGCTTGTGCCCATTGCCCCTCATCCTCTCACTGGGAACCACTGAAAAGAGTCTGGCTCCATCCTCCTTCAACCCACCCTTTAGATACTTATAAATAAGGGCTCCCCTCGGTCTTCGCTCGTCCAGGCTAAAGAGTCCCAGCTCCTTGAGCCTTTCCTCATCAGGGAGATGCTCCAATCCCTCCATCATCTCTGTTGCCCTACGCTGGACTCTCTCCAGCAGTTCCCTGTCCTCCTTCAGATGGTTTCATCAACTAACCAAACCCTCTCTTTTTTTTTTTTTCACCTTTTGATACGCAACCAACCGGCTGTAGAAAGATCTCTTCAGGCCCAGAGATGATGTGAGACCCCAGCTCACCTGCTGGGGCTGGGAAACCAAATGCCCCATTTACATCCTTTCAGATCAAGGTGGGGTCTGCTCAGAGACCAGCTGGTTCTGCTGGAACCAGGTGCTGGGACTAACACTCTCAGCGAAAGGAGGGTCAGAAACCAGTGTATCATCTCAACCTGACCTTTCTAAAGGAAGCTTTGAGGAAAGGTTCCTGAGCTCCAACAGGCTCTTTCTCCTCCTGAGCTCTGGGAGTCAGGCCTTGCCTACTTTGCAAGAGAGCAGCCTCCAAACCCCCCTTGCTTTGGGACCAGAACAAGCACACGCCTCATCCCAACTGCTAATCATGGAATCACAGAACTGTCGGAGTTGGAAGGGACCTCTAGAGATCATCTGGTCCAACTCCCCTGCCAAAGCAGGGTTGCCCAGAGCACATCACTCAGGAGCATCCAGGCGGGGCTTGGAGATCTCCAGAGAAGGGGACTCCATGACCTCCCTGGGCAGCCTCTGCCAGGGCTCTGCCACCCTCACCCCAAAGAAGTTCTTCCTCAGACTGGAGTGGAACTTCCCATGGTCCAGCTTGTGCCCATTGCCCCTCGTCCTGTCACTGGGAACCACTGAAAAGAGTCTGGCTCCATCCTCCTTCAACCCACCCTTTAGATCCTTGTCAGCATGAATAAGGTCTCCCCTCAGCCTTCTCTTCTCCAGGCTGAAGATCCCCAGCTCCTTGAGCCTTTCCCCATCAGGGAGATGCTCCAATCCCTCCATCATCTCTGTTGCCCTACGCTGGACTCTCTCCAGCAGTTCCCTGTCTCTCTTTGAACTGGGGAGCCCAGAACTGGACGCGGTATCCCAGTTGTGGCCTCCCCAGTGCAGAGCAGAGGGGGAGAATGACCTCCCTCCACCTGGTGGCCACTTCCTTCGCTCTGCCAAATTTCTAAGCAGCTTTAATTAAAGCCCCATCGTTGGAGGCAGTTTTCTGACCCGCGGGGGTGGCGCAGGCGCGGTTTCGCGGCGCCCACGGAGCGGCTTTCCCCTTGGCTGTCGCTGCGTGTCCCCCACCAAAGGGGAAGCGCCACCCCTTCCCCTGCCCCACTGCACACCCCACTGCAGCCCCATCCTGCCCCGCTGACACCCACGGCAGCTCCCTGGCGGCTGGAGGTACCTGCTGCTACCCCCCCGTGGAAAGAGGGCTCGCAGACAGCATTCCTGGGCTCTCCCCAAAAATCCAGCCGAGGAAAGTTGGCAAAGACTGACCCCACACATCCCCACGGCGCTATAAAGCTTCTCCCCAGTCCTGTCCTGCTTGCTCCATCCTTGTAGACGCAGTAACTCTTAAATTTGAACACAAAAACCTAGAAGGTTTGAACGCTTTTATTGGATTTTTGTTTTTTTTTTTTTATACAGCAATACAAATTATACAGATCCGTTACAGTACAGATTTTGCAGGGGTTTTATAGAGGTACTCAGTGATTTTTTTTTTTTTTTTTTTTTGGTTTAATTAAAAGGAAGAGGCAGATCTTGGGAGCACGGTGACATCAACAAAACAATCTCAACAGAGGAAGCAAATCCCTACCGTGCTGAGCACTAACCTACTGAAACTTACTGGGTGGAAAGGTGGTGGCAGCGATCCCGGCAACAACGACCCAAAAACATCAACCCTGGGACACTCTAGAGCTTTGCACAGGAAATTTGTGAGCTGACGGGTAAAGCAGGTTGGATCTAAAACGGCGCTGAGAGTCTCCTTAAAGCCCTTGGGTGCACTTTGCTGGGCAGGGGACAGGAAGGAGGGGAGCTGATGGTACAATGAACCTGAACCAGGTGGTGTCACGGACCAGCGTCGTTACAGCTATGGAGAAGGAAACCAGAAAATGCCTTAGATTTAGTCACTCAAACAGCTACAGTAGGGCAAGGAATGTGATCTGAGACCTAATAACAGCAACAGCCTCGTTCAAAACTGCCCCGGGATGGCGAGGCTTGGCCACAAGCACTGTCACAGCCAGCCCTGGGGACATTTTTAGCGGTGCCGGCGCATCACACTAGCAGGTTTGTATCTTATTGCTCCTTTAGGGAGGCAAGAAAGCACCCTGGGGGCCTAAATTTAACTTCACTCTCTCACAGCCCATCGTTTGACTAGGTGACCCCTCCTCCACCTCCTCCTTCAGCCCTCAGAACATGGCCCGTGACAACAAGCACAGAGAGCCCCCTCGGACGCCGTTACCGCAAGGCCCAGTGAGCTGGGAACACACCAGTGCCAGTACTGGGCTGCTGCCCTCCCAGGGCTGGCATCAGCCCTCCCCCGGGCTGAGGAGCTCAGCAGGGTTTGGGTTTCGGTGGCAGGCAGTGGAGTTTTGCTGCTCACTCCTGCCCGTTGTCCCCACAGCTCCTCCAGGGACACCCCATCGAGCAGGGGAACATCACAACGCCCTTCCTACAGTAGCAAAGCTACACCTTAATTCAATTTCCCTGCCAAAAACTCTCTGCTGCATTCCTTCAGCTTGTCTAATTTTTTTTTTTAAGTTCAGGTTTGAAGGAAGCCCTGCACAGCCACCAGAAATAACTTGGAGAGAGTATGAACAGCCACAAAGTGAATTATCCAGTTGTTACCACCACAGGGAACCTCCTCGTCCAGGCTTTGCCGCATCGGGCCCAGCTTTAAGCTGCAGAGGAACTTAAATATTGTTTAACACTTAAACCTTAACTGCTTTTTGCTGGAGGGAGGGGGAAAAATAACCTTGTTTCCTCCCACGAAACTTCAATGCCACGTTCATATATTAAACACAGTTTTGCCAGCTGTTGATACAAGCTAGTTGGATATGCTTCTGTAGAGGGAAATGTTAATCTATTAGATTTTTGAAGGGGGAAAAGAAAAAGGAGGAGTCTGACCCTAAGCCATATGGGAAGAATAACACAGAATGCTCCAAAGAAACCAGGCAACTCATTAATTCATTACAAAGAACTTAAAAAAAAAAAAAATTAAGATATTGAGATTAGGCTGCATCCAGTAGTGGGAAACTCTGGACCAAACAAATATTAGCAGATACAGAAAAATATTTATAGGAATGAGAGGAGCCGTTTTGCATCTCTCTTTCTCACAGCAACACTTCCCTCCAGGCGGAGTGATGGAATTATTGCTTTCCCCACCAGGAGGACCAGCCCTGAGCAAGCTCTGTCACAGCAGCTGAAGGGCAGTGTCCCGGGAAAAGAAAAAGGAGGAGTCTGACCCTAAACCATACAGGAAGAATAAGAGGAGCCGTTTTGCATCTCTCTTTCTCACAGCAACACTTCCCTCCAGGCGGAGTGATGGAATTATTGCTTTCCCCACCAGGAGGACCAGCCCTGAGCAAGCTCTGTCACAGCAGCTGAAGGGCAGTGTCCCCACACAGCCAGCCCTGTCCCTACGCACCATCCAGGGCACCGTCCGTGGAGGACACTCAGGTGATCCAGCAGGACACACACCCTGCTCCAAAAAGCAGCTCCAGAGCAGGGTTGGGATTCTCTGCTCCATCAGAGCAGGTTCAGAGGGAGCCAGAGGCAGGAACACTTCCACCCCTTCGAGCTATGGAGAGCAGTAAAACCAGCAGGAAGGTCAGAACTCCTTTCCTCAATAAAAAACAGGGCTCTTTCTCTCTGAACTGCCCCTGCAGCACCCCCACACCTCAAAGCACAGGGCAACAGCCTCAACAACAGTTATGTCCAGTGGGAAACCAGGCAAGACAACACCAAGCAGATCTATTCACTGTCTCACCACAGACTCCACATTAGACTGGTCACTACTCCAATGGGAGGGACACAATTTTTTTTACAATCATGCAAAAACACAATTTTGACTTCACTGTGTCCTGCCCGTTCCAGCACTTGTTCAGATTCAATTCCTCCCCTTTATCTTTTCCTCCTCCCCTCTGTTATTTGTACAGGAATGGGTCTGGTACAGCTTCCCCAGAAAATTTAAGGAAGCAAATTTGGAAATTAACACAATGTTTGAAAACTGAAGCAGGGGAGGGGGGGAGAACATGCTAGAGCAGACTCAAATAAAGACCAATGTTAAATATTACTTAATGTTTTCTTTTATTTAAAAGATCATTCACAAAATACCATATCCATAAATTTATTTTGTTATGAAGCAGAATGTGTTAAGTGTTTGGAATTCTCTTCTTTTCCTTTTTTTTTTGTTTTGACATTTAAAAGTCAACTCTTGACTAGAGGTGAGTTTTTTTTATATGGGAATTTGTTCTTAAAAATCTTTTCCACATTGAAGATGTCAATAAGGTCAATTATTGGTTTGGAATACAACCACACAAATGCATGTCTGTCTTAAATTAAGTATTAGTGTTAGACAAATGGTTCTTATCTCAGAAGCAGATTAAGTGACAGGCAGAAGGAAGGAAAGAGCAGTTCTGTAAATTGCTGGGACTCTGACATTACAAAGGGAACTTCAGGGAAGGGGTTCACTACTAGCAGTGATGCTGCTGGCAGCCAAGCAGCCACGCTTCCAAACTCCTCTGGCAAGAGCTCCGGGTGCTGGCGGTGTGAGGAGAGCTCTCAGCACGAGAATCAGGGGCCCAGGATCTTCTCATGCATTGGACATACCCACACTGCAGTGTTACACACCCAGCTTTTGGTTTTGAAAATTAAGGACCTCTCTCCTTTTTGCTCCAGCCTCCCCCCGCCCCAGCAACTTCCTCACAACACTGGCAAGAAATATTTCAAGCAAAGAGAGATGCAGCAATTAAGAGATGCTTTTTTTTTACCCAAACTTCTACATGAAAAGAATCTAGAGCAGAATGATTTCTGATCTGCTCATTTTCAAGGTATTCTGAAAGCAGAGGTCTTAAAACTGTACACCACTGGGCAAAGAAATACAGGGGATAAAGGTGATTATATACTGCATGGCAAAGTATACACTCCTTAAACAAAAATAAAAAAGTCAATTTTATTTGTAGAAACTTTAAAAATTTACCAAACATGTAAAACCCAAAAAAAAAATAATATGTAAGCAGAAAGAGCCAGCGAGCAGTTGTGCTCAAACAGGCACATTTTTGCAGCACTAACCTTGAGCTCAGAGGTGCAGCACCATACCATTTTGAAGTCACCAGCCAGCCACCAGAGTCTGCTGGCAGAGGCTTTATCAATACTGATTCCACCACCTACTCACGAGGCTGCTCGTCAGCCTATTTTATTTGCATCTATTAAATTGATCCTTCCTGGTAACCTGTGTGAAAGGGCAGCTTTCCCCCCTTAGTTTCATAAGGGGCTCTGCTGTGTACAGTAACTATCATCAATTGTCATCAATGGTATTTCATTACTTGGTTAGAACTGGGAATTTCTCTGTTCAACTCATCTGGACCCTCCCAGTTTTCCTCTTCAGAGCCACAGCAATACAGAACGAGACATGCAGGTCAGAAGAGGAGCACTGAGGAAGGAAACAATACGGGGCAATAACTAAGTCTAACCTGTGCTTCTAAAGTAAAACAAACCCAGAAAGGAAGAAGTTGAAGCAGCACCATTGTCCAGAGACCTCCACGCTCGTGGAAGCAGCTACACTGCCTTATCTGCTGGCAACTGTGCTGCTTGGAAGGAAACAGAAGAGGGAAACTCAGCACAAAGCAGGCACTAGATACAGCAAAGCCAAGAACGTACTAAAAACCACTTGTTAACAGCTGACATGCATTCACAAGCTCTGTGTTTTCGGTTTCAAATAGGACAAATGCCAGATGGCAGGAATGGTAAACTGCAGGGTTGACATTCCAGCAGAGCTAGTCACTCTGTACTGTCTTGCTTTTTCTCCCGCCTCCCCATTCCCTCTCAACCCCAAACTCAGTCGTGCTCTTTTACTACTTCCTCTCGGGGCTTGGCTCCACCGAAGATAGCAGAGTTGGGGTTGGCTACTTGATTGAGGGGAGTAGCAACTGTTCGAGGTTTGAGCTGAAGTCGGGGTCGCTGTGCTCTTTCCTCTGAAAGAAAAAGCATCAAGGTTTTAAGAGGTCGCTGTGCTCTTTCCTCTGAAAGAAAAAACATCAAGGTTTTAAGATCTCTCTGTCAAGGGTAGTAGCTTTAACCTGATAAGGAAAGGAACGTTCCTTCATGAAGGAAGACCAAATTATAGAAGATATAAAGAGTTCACCTTCTGTTGGCTCTCTGAAGTCCATGGAAGACCCACGAAGGGGAGGCCCATCTCTGAAGCGACCGGTGCCACCACTTCCCATTGAGGCACCTGGTGGTCGCCGGTCTCCAGGGCGGGTTCCTCTACCCCGGCCTCCCAAGAAGTCATCATCTTTGAATCCTGAAGACGGAAGACAGTGAATTTAAAGAGCGTATTTTGCGATACTTTAAATCTAGGTTTTTATGCGGGTGACTGGAAAACCTTGCAAGCCACTGGTGGCAGTCCAAGATGATGCACCAAGAGCCTTTGTCTGTAGACAGATTGCTTCATGGATCTCTAACACATTCTAGAAGGGTCACACAAATTCCATTTGAAACCAAGTGTACTGTGCCACGTTCAGAAACCGCTTTATCCACCTAGAGGCTTATTGGAGAGTGGGTCATCAAGTGAGCTTAAAATAAGAGCTTCAGCTGCAATTTCAGACTGTGAACACCATTAGCTGAATTCAGAGACGCCACTACAAGTACCCAGAGTACTTCTCTAGTCAGGAGATCACACTGGCTACAGTCTCAGCATGAAATCTGCAGGAGCACAGCAAATGGGAAAATAGCTAGGGAGTAATGTTTTATAAGGACTGTATATTTCAAAGCCTTTGAAAAACGGAGCAAAATGCCAAGGCTTTTAGTTGTACTATAAACTGATTTACTAGACTAACTAAAGTCTGGGGAAAAACACCCTTCAGACTTTAAATATGAAACTGACTACATTGATTCTATGAATCAAATAATCAAGAACTGTCTGTCACTGGCCAGAGGTCCATTCTGTACCAATGACTGTCCCACAGTATCTCTCCAGGTACCCATCATCTGCAGTCAATGGGAGGAGGATATTTCAGGCTAACAGCACACCTAAGGGGAATATACTCAGTTTTTCAGAAGCTGCCTGGAAGAGAAAGTTGTTTTGCTCCCATTTTCGTTCCACTTCAGTATTTGGCAGAGTTGCAGAATCATCCCTTACTTGAGTGCCAAGCAACCATCTTTAAAGACTTGATCCAGAGCAAGACTGTACAACCTGAGAAGAAAAGCTTCTGTAGCAACTAAGACTTAAAGGCTGAATTTTTGGCTCGGAAATCACTCATCCAGCATCTAACATGCCGAAATGCATCCGCATTTGAAGAAGCTGCCAAAAAAAAGTACAAAGCTATGACACCAGAATGCTTAGCTACGGAGGCAGGTTAAGCACAGCGCTGTAGCAAGCTTCCTCTCTCCAGCACCACGCTTCAGTGCCATGCTGGTGGCAAGGGCACGCTTCGTTACCGCTCCTTCCACTTCGTCCATTCCACTCACGCAGAGACCAGACATTGCAAAGTTGCACTTGCCAACATCTCCCCATCAGAAAATGGACCAAACCCACGATTTCAGAGGACAAAAAGCAATTGTGTTAATGTCACCCTGGATTCTAATAGCTAGAAAATGACAGGAAGTGAAGAGCAAACTCACTGGCTCCATCACTACCTTCCGCTCCGCAAGCTCAGTCATTTGCTGCAACTTGCATTACTGTAATAGGTCTAAAAGTTTAGGAACATTTTGGATTTTCAAGAGCTTTGGAACACTAATGCATCTTTGGAGAAGTCAGTTGCTTCAGGATACAAATATAATGATGTCACATCTCATTAAGGTGAAAGCCTCTGCTCTGAAAGAATACAGCATCAGTTTTTCCACAGGATCTGTCTGTTTCTGCTACTATTCAGAAATGTACTTTGCCTCATGTTTGAGAAACGCTTAAAATCTAGACACCATAGACCAAGTAGTCTGTCATTTAGGATTATTTCATAACATTACAATCAAGACTCCTTCCTCTGTTATAAGGCAATGGATGATTCCCCTTGGAAGAATCCCACTGCAGCTGTGGGGCATCCAAAGTTGGCATACAGTAGATTCAATCAAAACAGTAACGGGGACAAAATGTAGCTGACATGAAAATGAGAACATTTCTGCGCCTTTTAGGCTGCCTTTCTGTAGAAGTGTTAATACTGATACCAGAATTGAAGTCATCTCTGGAATCCCATCCACCTCCTCTGGATTCTCGGGGACCTCCTCCCATTCCTAGGAAAAAAGCCACAATTGTGTTCAGGTCTGAAGCTGTGGGAAAGACTGATCAAGGGGACACCAAACCAAAGTTTCAGTCCTTCCACATCCAAAGTCATGCTGCTGGAAAAGCCTTTCATTTCAGTGCTACCCTGTTCCACTGCACAGGAACAAAAGGTCAGCTTAAGTTAACCAAGAATAAGTGGTCAGAAAGGTTTCTCTAATACACATTCGATGGAAAGCTTTAAGTGAGTCTAGTTCAATTAAGCTTTAACTTTAAAGCCTGTTTTACACTGGAACAGGAGATCAATGGTCCAAAATAAGTATTTTTTCCACTTGTGCTTACTTAGCTTACTCACTTTTCTTACATCACAATAAAATAGTAGCAGATCAGACTGTTGGGCTTATGATTGTCCTCTGCAAGACACCATACATTACTAAGGGTATTGGTCTCACTTCCTGGCCCAGGAGTGACAACGTGTTCAGCCTTTGGACACAAAGCACATCTATTCCAGACGTTTCAGGAGCGGCAGCAGCTAGGTAAGAAGTGTGTACATACATATAAAATTTCTCCTTCTTACATAATCTTCATATTTACTTGCATGCCTTGTCTTCGCATTAGTTAACACCAGAAGTCATAACTACAACCAATACATTTAAGAAGCTATTCAGAAAAATGTAAGTCACCTCTGTCATCGGGCCCGCCACCTTTTCTGAAGCCAAAGCCACCTTTATCCTGTTTTCTGCCTTCTGCTATGTCCACTCGGAGTGATCGATCACCCAAAAGCTGTGAAATAAAGGAGAGAATCTCTTCAGGATGTACCATATGGGCTGCCAAGAAGTTTGAGACTTGTGCTTATTTTTTATTTCACAAATTAATTGCAATATACTTACTGCACCATCATATGTAAGAGCTTCCTTGAGTGACTCCACTTCATCGAACTCTACGTAACAAAATCCTAAAAGAAGAACCTCACAAGTTAATACCAGCACTTTAAAAGGCCTCTGTAAGAAGCTACTCTTCCTGCATATCTGCTAATAGCCTCCCTTCTCTTTCAAACATGAGCTACAGTACAATAAGTGCAAGACACACATTGCTCAGACACCAAACATCAATGATGAATGCATTTACCTATGCCTAACAATGATGGGGACAAATCCTGAAATAGAACTCTGTATGGGCACTATGCAAATGCCAAGAGACTCATTAATTCCCTGTACAGGGACTTACAGGGTTCTCATTACAGATTAGATTTGATCTATGCCTTCAGACAGTTATTTAGCTGAATATTGACTTATGGTTACTAGTATTCTTAAACAAGAAACTCAAGTACCTGCTTGAGGTACTTGATTTTTGTGTCATCACATCTGATTGTGTCATCGCATCTTTTAGTAAATCTATTCCTTTTCTAAGACCCTCTGTCATCCGAATTAAGCCTTTTTCCCAGAAGCAACTTACAAATATACTACCTTTCCACTGGCCAATTCCAATGGAAATTAGATTTGCATCCTCTAAAACAATTATCTGAATGGCTTATCTACTTGCTCTTTCCCATCTATTAAAAAAAGACAAGGGTTGAAGCAAAAAGAGTCCTCTAAACTAAAGGAAGATTGTTTAAGTACTCAATACCTAACATGAATCTTAAGTGGGTCAGACACTTCAGCTTTGTACTAATTCATACAAAACAAACAAGGTTTGAGAAAGTGCTTTTATGGTAGGGCAAATATTGACTCTTGTCACTCAGGTTAGTTTGTATCTTAAGATGATGGAACTAACAGTGAATCTCATTCAAAGAAGATGTTTACTTGTTAGTGAATGAGAAACCTGCATAAGTCAACATAAAAACCAAACACATGTCAACAAACTAACTGCACTTTAGAGTAGCAACTGAAATCCCCTATTAAAGTGACACTAGAAGTCCCTAATTTTCTCCTATTAGTTAGCCAGAACAACTCTGAACACTCACCTTTAAATTTGTCTGTTTCCTTGTCTCTGACTAGTCGTACACTCCTTACGCTGAGATCCTTGAAGATGGCATCTATGTCTCCTTGAACGGTGTTGAAGGGTAGGTTTCCCACATAGGCTGTGAAGGGGGGTTCTGTCGGCAGCTCTTTCTGTTTGCGCGAACCAAGGCCACCCCCACGAGACCTGTTGGACAAAAGGACACTGTCTCTGGAACTGGACTCCCAACACAGCCAGTAACAGAGTACACAGCACTGCCCAGGTGCTCTTTGACTTCTTGGACATCGACTTTTCCACACCTTTGGATAGTTCTTCCTATCCCTTTACCTGTACCTGCCACCTCCAATATTGACCAACTCCTTTCTAGTATTACCTGATGCAGTATTTCAGTGGGAAAACAAATGAACAATATGTATAAATACATTACAGTTGAACTCAGCGACAAAGTGATGAATGAGTTTCTTTCTCATCCCACAATCCATTACAAAAAGCAACATAAGATGATCTCTACTGTCTCCTACTCAAAAACATTACTTCTTGAAATACACATCCTAGAGCAGATTTTAAGATTGATACATAGCAATGAAGAAATACTTGTCAGCTTATCCTGAAATTAAGCTGGATCCAATGCTTTTAACTAAATAGTATATTATCAGCATCCACTCCACGGTCATCTAAATTATTTCAGCAGCATTTATCTCAACAAAAACATCTTCTACCTTAATTTCTTGACATAACTGTCAGATATCCGGACTGGAATGCTTTGAGTTGAACACGTAATAAAAAACTTGGTTAAGCAAGGTGTTCTAAGGCAGAGAAACCAATTTCAGTGCTGTTTGGATGTTCACTTCTTCCTTTGTGTCTCATGAATTACAGGCTGAGGTAAATGAGTTTGTCTTTTCCTATCTTTCCTCTCAGTCTCAGTTAAGGCTATTGACATCAGTTGCTGATAAACTAGACTGTACCAGCTAAATTCTTTACTGTATTGATGTAACACATCTGTGTTAATTTCCTGTGGAGCCTAATCTTCTAAAGCTAATTTTGATCTCCTTTACAGAGAGCAAGATATGTACTGTGGGCACAAGGCAACCTTAAATTATAACTCCTGGACTTCTAGGCTCCAGGATGCCACTGTCACAACACCATTTTCCCCACCTAAACAATCTCTGACTTTCACCTGAGACACCCAGCTAATACTCTGCCCATGTTCTCTTCAACATCTTAATTTCACCGGGCTTTGTTCATGTCTGCTGTTTCCCAGAGGCATTTAAAAGCATGGTGGAACAAACTGTACCACACCAGGATTTGCTAGTGTGACACGGACTAATTAGATTTCTGCAGAGTCCTACCTAAAATACAGAAGGTCAAATCATTTTGTTATTTCTTTTTATTCTGGCTGGCTACACACAGCCAGAAAAATCCATCGGGCAAGCAATATACTTGTCTGCCTTTCTTTTTTTTCATTCCAGGATAAATATTTTATTACTTATGAACCAGATAATGCAGAAATCTTGAATAGGATTCCTTAACTCTTCCTAGGTAAGCCTGTCATTTGTGCCTTTTTATGGCAGCAGCTCCATGCAGGAGTCATTTGTCATCAACACACTATATCAGCATGCTGCTAAATGTACTAGAATCACAACCTACATATCTTTAATTAGTGTCCACCCAGGTTTGTATTTTAGCATTTTTTGACAATATTCCTCATATGCCTTTGTCTCATTAACAAGGCAGAGTAAAAAACATAGTGGAGAACTACAGCTGCTATAGTTGGGTGCTCTGTATGCATAGCAGAATCAGCTTTAGTAACAAGACTAAGTTTTAAGGAGGAACTCCAAGAAAGCCGAGTTGCTCTTCTATAGAATTCCATAATATGTAGAATCAGTTCCATGCCTTTGTCCCTAATTCTCACCTATGGTCTTACAAACAGCTACTAAAATACCATAATATTTAATTTGCAGCCAAAAAATCTTAGTTTTTATGTTCTTATAGAACATAAAAATTACTTCAGCTGCATTTAAAAGGAGCATTCTCTCCTTCTACACATCCTCACCCAGTTTTTTTGGGCTGCCAGTCATCCAGCTCAGTAAGCTGATTCACCTAGAAACTCACCCTGAAGTTGTATTCTCAGCCAGATCAACAAGGTGATCTGGACAACTGCAAAGAACACTCATGCCAACACAGGAAGGAAAATGAAAACAAGGGCCTGCACTACAGCTTTCAACAGCAACCTCCACTCAGATCAATTTGAGCTGCTTCTGAAACCACACCCTCAAGTTAGCAATTCCCAGAAGAATTTTTTGCTCTACAGACAAACCTAGTTTCTATCACAGCACACAAGAACTTCACACAGTGCCTGTGTGGAAATCCATGCCCTATTGTGCAATCCCTACTGATACGAAGGCAGAAAATGAAGGATTATTTTTGAATTTGATCCATTAAGGCCTCAGTTATCAAATATATAGCTATATATTTAGTATTTTATCTTCCATTTGAATAACAGGAAAGGCCAATAACCAGGTTCCAAACTAAGTCTCCTACAGAATCTAGGTATAGCAACACAAAAAGAAATGTTTCTAAACTTCCCTACAGTTTTTCAACACTGCAACAGTGTGTGAGGGGGAATAAATAAAAAGGCTGACTTCAGCAACCAAACAATGAGATTGAAAGATGATGCTCTCATTTGTAACAAAATAGGACAAAAGTCAACTATAATTAAAAACATCTCTGAAATACGTGAACCGGGTCACACCAAAGTGTTAAATGGATATCTGTGTTTCCCACTCAGTGTAACTTTTGCTCATTAGGTAATAATTATGTCATCTTAATGTGGGAATCTGAAACAATTATTTGATTTCTTTTGCAGAAAGCCAAAGCAGAAAAGTAAAGAGGAAACTTGGTTCTAGCAAATGCAGATGCAAACCCCCCTATCGTTAGACTTGCTTTTTGGTGGACTCAATTAAATGACATCATAATGCTATATTGGGGTGAAAAAACAACAATCTATCATTTTGAAGTTATTCTTTTAGAAGGTTAAGTTGCTCTCTCCAGAAAACAAGATCTGTCAAAAGTTTAAAAACAATGAATATTTTGAAAGTCAATATTTGAATTTAATAGCCTTTCACTAAGGATTAAAACAATAGCTCAGTATTTATCTTTTTGCACAGCACAGAGACAACAGCCCAACTGGACTCCAACATTAGTGCTTTACCAGAGGCAACACAAGGCTCAGCAGGATGCAAGTTTTGCTGAAACTCTCCAAGATGACAACTCTTAAATATATACCCAATTTATTCAAGCAATCCAGTACATCTCTAAAAGTAAGCATTAGATGTCCACAACAAAAAGCTTACCCAAGTCTAAAAATGAGGAGACATTTATTAACACTAAATTGGTAAGACACAGGATCCAAAATGCCAGAAGAATAAGGACTAACTCTCCATTTTCACTTATACAGCCCTTCAGCAGATTAATCTTAACCTTTGAGTAAAGTGCCCAGCATTAAGCCCAGTGCATAAAGCCACACCCAAATAAACAGCCTACCAATTAGTCAGGAGTGATAAATACTCCGTCTTCTTCAACTTTCAGAAGCTCTACAGATGTTTAGAGAGTTTTAGCCAGGCCTCCATATGTTTAAGCATAGGGGGTTTTTTTGTGTCAAGTTTTGGGCACCAAAACACTTACCAAAAGGCTTTTCTAGTAAGCCTTCTGTTATTAGAGGTGAGCAGCATGCTTTGCATCTGGAATAAAGTGACTTCTGCATACCCTAGTATTATGCTTCAGCTCTTTATCAGCACATTACTAGTACACTAGCAAAATCCCCTGTCTTGTCACACTATGGTCATATTCTGTTGCTCTTCCACCATAATTCTGAAGTGTATGAGAAAGATATATATGAATATATATAACATATATGTTAGAACTGGTGGGGCACTACTGTTTTCCTTCTATCACACTGAAATCCTATGCTCACTTTCTATGCAGACCAAAGGTTATGCAAAATGCAACTTCCACAAAAACTATTAGATCTTAACTGGGTTTACGCTATTTTTACAGTCCTGGAGAACCTAAAAAATGAGGAGGAGTCACTCTTAAGTTAACATGAGATCCTTTAATCAGAACCTTCAAGAGGAACAGTGATGTTTTCATTACACTACATATATTACAAGACTTCATACAAAGCAAAGACCTGTTAAGGTCTGGAATTGTGAATTAGCTGTTAATAACATACTAGTAATGGTGATAAATGCAACTAGGAATTGCACTCTAATAGTAGCATCTGATGGCTAAAACTACAGCTAATTCAGAAGAAGTATATTTTGTCACCTGCAAAGGCATCTACTAATCAGCAAGATGCCTTTACTTCACCAAAACAAGGATACGCATCTTGCCTGAGAGAAACTTTAAGTACTCTGCTAAAGAAATCTGAATATGAAAGTAACATTTTAACTTTAATTTTGTTACTTCATAGAAAGGGCCTACATTGACTAGGGCAGACTGAATAGTAACATCTGAATTTATTATGTGTGTCAAGTGCTACTTCAGGCTGCTGTCAAGGTTATTTGTTACAGAATTCTAAAAAATAACAGAACCGTAAGTTCTTGTTACACTCCTTAAGATTTATTCACAAAGACAGTTTATTTTATAGATTTATGCCTACTATTTTATTTTAGCACACTCAACAATTTGTATGGCACTAGCCCTCAAAAAAACCAATTGCTAACTGCATCCTCCTAACCTGATTCAAGACAAACTTCATAATTGCTGGTTATTGTTTTTGAAGCTCCTCCCCCATATGTACTCTCCAGCAAAGAGAGAGAGACAAGCCTTATTCCTAAGGATCAGGGATTTGGAGTCAGCACCCGGAGCCGCGGATAAGGCAGGAGGGCGCCTCACAGCCTTCCCCGGCCAGAGGCACCACAAAGCCCTCCCGCCCACTCCCCGCCGCAGGCATCACAATGCTGCCCGCTCCCAGGGGCACCTCGCCGTGCCGAGCTCGACCCGCCCGAACAGGGGCTTCTCGCTTCCCTACAGTCTTACACAGGAAGCTCCCTCCTCCCATCCCCCGATCTGTCCCTGCAGGAGCTCCTCACGGCCTACCTTGGCGCTGGCCCAGCACCTCCCTAAATCTCCCCCCCCCTCCAGTCGCCTCCGGGCCGGCGGGAACACAGCGACACCCTCCTTCTCCTCCCGCCCCTTCCCGACGCTCCCAAGCCTCCAGGCCCTAAACCTTGCGGCACTCGCCCCGCGTAGCCAGGGGCCGGCCGCTTCCCTCTCCCGGGACACCACAATTTCCTCCTCCTCGCCTCACAAAGCGTGCCCACCGCGGCCGGAGGGAAACGCGCCCCGCCGGCCTAACCCCCGTCCCCTAGAGAAAGGGAGGCGGCGAGGCACGGCGGGCCCGAAAGGCTCCTAGAGGCAGCGTCCCCGCGTCCCCCTCTGCGCCCGCCCCCCCGCCATGCCCGCCCGCCATCTCCACAGGGAAAGGGGCAGGCTAGGCCCTGCGCGGCCGCGCCCCCTCCTCGCCCGGCCGGGGGGGCTCGGGCCGCCACTCCCTCCTTCCCTTCCCGCTCCGGGGGGAGCCCTTAGCGCTCCCCATGTCCCGGTGCAGCCCGCAGCGCCGCGCTCACCCCCGGCCGCCGCCGAAGCTGCTGTAGGCCCGATCGTCGTAAGGATCAAAATCCGCCATCGCCACCTCAGCCTCCTCCCCGTGCGAGCGTGACAGGACCGCGCCCGCAGGACCCCGCGCCGCTTATATACGGCGGAGCCCGGGCCAGGGCTGCCCCTGGCGGTGCCTGTCTCCAGCTTCACGCCCCGCCGGGGCTGTCCGCGCTACTGCCTGTCGGGAAGGCCCAGCGTCTGGGCGCTCCCCCGCCACCGTCACAGTCGCCGGCCGGGCCGGGCTGGGCCAGCCCCCGGTACGGGCTGCGGGGTCGGGCCGGGCGGTTATTGGTGGCAGGAGCCGAGGCCTCTGGCTTGAAGCGTGCTGTAGCCGGCCCGGTGCGTTCGTCTCTGTCCCCAGATCGCCTTGGGGTCGCTGCGGGTAGGATGAGAGGCAGAGGTGGCTGGTGCTGCGGGCGTTATGCTTGTTCGCTGCGCTCCTGCGGCTGGCGGGAGAGGAGCTGGGGAGGCAGGCAGCACACGGGCACAGTCTTTGCGTGACCGCCGGAGAATAACGCTGTATTTTGTTGTAAATAAAGACAACAGGCCGATTTGTGGAGCTGATTTATTACCTTTTTCTAGGCCATTTATTTCAGGCTTTATAATAAAACTGCAAGATGTACAGATTCTCATGTGACAACCAGTTGTGCCAATGCACCTCAGTGTCCCTGTGACCCCCCCCGGCTGGAGCACGGGTGACGGGGACAGGAATATGGCACTGAGGGAGCACTGGGCTGAGGAGAAGCCGCTGGGATGAGGAGAGCCCGGGCTGATGAGGGGTGCCTGGGGCTGAGGAGAAGCTGCAGCCCTGAGGGAGCACAGCGCTGAGGAGAAGCCATGGCACTGAGGCTTCCTGAGGGGAGTGCAGGGCTGATGAGAAACTGTGGCACTGATGAGAAGCCGCCATCCTGAGGGACCGTGGGGATAAGGAGAAGCCATGGTGCTGAGGGAGTGCGGGTCTCAGGGGAAGCCATGGTGCTGAGGAGAAGCCATGGCACCAAGGGAGCATGGGCTGATGAGAAACCATGGCACTGATGAGAAGCCTCCATCCTGAGGGAGTGTGGGGATGAGGAGAAGCCACGGCGCTGAGGGAGCATGGCCCCGAGGAGAAGCCATGGCACTGAGGGGCAGCCACAGCGCCAAAGGATGTGAGGCTGAGGAGAAATCATGGGGCTGAGGGGACAAGGGAGGCCACAGCCTGGTGATGGTGACAGGCCTGTGGCACTGAGAAGCTATGACCCTGAGGAAGCACGAGGCTGAGGAGAAGCCAATGACACTGAGGAGAAGCCGTGGGGCTGAGGAGAAGCCGTGGGGCTGAGAAGCTGCAGTGCTGAAAGAGCCAGGCACTGAGGGGAGCGTGGGGCTGAGGAGAAGTCATGGTGCTGAGGAGAGCCCGAGGCTGAGAAGCTGAGGCCCTGAGGGAGCACAGGGCTGGAGGAGAAGCCACGGCCCTGAGGAGAAATTGCGGGGCTGAGGGGACAGGGGAGGCCACAGCGCTGAGGAGAAGCCGCGACCCTGAAGGGACCATGGGGCTGAGGGGACACCATGGCGCTGAGGAGAAGCTGCGGCACCGAGAAGCCACGATCCTGAAGGGACCACGGGGCTGAAGGGAAGCCATGGTGCTGAGGAGAAACCGTGACCCTGAAGGGATCACAGAGCTGAGGGGAAGCCATGGCGCTGAGAAGCCGCGACCCTGAAGGGACCACGGGGCTGAGAAGACGCCATGGCGCTGAGGAGAAACCGCGGGGCTGACAGGCCCGTGGCGTGGCGGAGAACGCGCGGGGCTGAGGGGACGGAGGAGACCGCAATCTGCCGGGGTTGGCGAGACCGCCCCCGAGCGGGCCCCGCTGCCCCGGAAGAGGCGGGCCGGGCGGCGGACGGCGGCAGCCCACGTGTGGCGCCATGGCGGAGATGGAGGGTACGGGCGCCGGTGTGGTGGCCGACCCCCACGGAGTGCTGCGGCAGGGCCGCGTCTTCCTCGACTTTTTTTGGGACATCGCCAGCCCGGAGCGGGAGGTGCGGCTGGCGGCCACCGAGAACCTCCTGCGGCACTTGCGGGAGGGCAGGAAGGTGAGGTGGGATGGGGCCGGGGCGGCCGGAGGGGCTGCGGGTTGGGACAGGGGCACGGCAGGGCTTGCCATTGTGGGGGGAGCCCGGCAGCCCCGCGGGTTTCGGAGGAGCATGGGCACCGCTAGAGCTGGAGGTCTGTTTTTCAGGACGATGAGCTGAAGTACGCTCTCAAGCGTCTGGTGGAAGGACTGGGAGCCACCCGGCAGGCCGCCCGCCCTGGCTTCAGCTTGGCCCTGGCGCAGGTCAGTATTTCCCAGAGGGGAGCAGAGCGCTCTGCGGCCCCTCACCAACCCCTGTCAGCTCCTGGCGTCCTGCTTTGCTGCTTTTAAGGAGGCTGGAAGGCTCCTGCAGCTTCCCTGGCAGCTTCTGCATGCAGGTGGCAGAGAAGGCTCTTGCAGTGAGCATAGGAAAGCTGTGCAGTTTTAAATGGTGCTAGTTTCTTTTAGAAGCACTTACAAAGATGTAAGCTCTACCAATATCACGCTTGTGCTGCAGAATTGCAGCACAGAATTGCTCAGTCCTGCTTCAAGAACTGTCCTTAATTTGCAAACTTTGACCGCATTTTCAAATATACTGCATTTAGAGCTGTTGTGACTTCTTAAAATTGACTTTCTCCTGGTGTTGGGCTGTTTTTGTGGGAGATCAGAAAGACAACCCTTTAATGTACACTTCAAAGTTTGGGGGTTTTTTTGTCTCTCTGCTGTTTGAGTCTGTAACACAGCAAAGAGTCCCAGCAATTGGCATCACCAGTGGGATCTGACCTCATATCAGCTCAGAAGCTGATAATGCAGAAAAGCCTGTATTCTTCCCACTTATATCAGGCTTTGCCTGATGAAGTTTCATTGCTTCTGTTATAGGGTTGTGCATTTGCAGCAAAATGTTCTCATTAATAAACCTGCTAAGCTATATATGGGTTAAAACAAAAAAAAAAAGGAGTGCCAGCAGGTATATTTATGTCTACTCTAGTTCCTATTCTGACACATCTACTGCTCTAGTTGTCTCTATTCTGGCCTAATAAAGCAGCACATCTGCTGCTATGCTGAACAACTGTTCAGCTCTCTTTTGGCTGAACTCGATAAAACTTCATAAAATGGAAGAACCGCAAACTGAGCTATTCCATCCATCTCCTCAGGTTTTACAGGCTTTTGAGGAAATCCCATTGTGCAGTGTCCTGGAACAGATAAAAGAAAGACACAGTCTGGAAAAGGGGAAAAAGGTGAGTCGGCTTATAGCAGTGATAGCTAGTTTAAATAAACCTTTCTCTCTTCTTTGAAGGATTGGTGTCTGTATAGTATAGTTTTGGGTTTCTGGCTAAGGCAAATGACCATAATGAAATAATGGAGATGTTTGTAAAAACTGGAAGTTGATGACATTGTCATCTGGCCCTGTTTTAGCTGAGATTCGTTTGTGTGACAGAAAGATAATCCAGGATAGTTCTTAAACACCATGCAGGGGGTTGCTTTTCAGTGTGTTATCTTCATAAGTCAGGGTGTTCAGGACTAGATCTTCCAACAATCTTGTTCCACTGAGCTATAGCTGAAAATGAAATCTAACTGCTTGGTGGGGTGGATTTTTAACAGTCTTTTTTTTTTTTCTCCCTTTTCAGAAACTTGTGAAAAATGCTGCTTTTGGAAACTTTTTTGGAGTTATGGCTCTGTTTCAATCTGGCCGGCTTATCAAGGTAACATTACCATTGTTATGTTGTTTGTCATTACTGGTTCTAGGGCTGTCTGAAGTGAAGAGAGGATCTAGAGAGAAAGGCTAGTGGATGAGATGGCACTTGAAGCATCAAGTTTGGTTCATTTCTTTTGCATTATCCCTAGGCTTTTTGTGCCTTCCCTGTTTAGAACATAGGAACTGTGTCAGATAGTACAGGGGGTTCCTACCTCTCCTGGAAGGAAGGGATCTCTTGTCATATATATCCAGAGAACGCTGTTTTGGGGAAAGCTGAGTGGCCTCTCAGGAAGGAATTGTGTAGATTTCTTACTACAAGTAGACTTAAGGGTCTCAAGAGTGGATTATTACCTGAGCCTCCAGCTTAATCTTTGATATATGTCCTCTGTTTTTGGCTTATCTTTCCTTTCTAGGACCAGAAGGCTCTGTTGGAGAGCATCCAGCTTCTGCAGCAGCTGGTACATCACCAAACACACCTCAGAGATCTCCCTCGCAAAACTCTCATTGACATCATCTCTGAGGTATGGCCACAGTACATGGTGGGTGGGAGGAGGGAGGACTTTGCTTTGGAGACTGCTTTTTCCTTAGTTTGTTCATAGTTAAAAGGGGGTGTATGTGGAAGAGTTGAGTTTCAACTGTGGAAGCTGTTTTCTATATTATCTGTGGGCAGATGCTTTTATTCAGGGAAGAATGCTCTGGTTTAACTTAAGCTGATTTTATCACGGATAAACCCAGTCTGTTTTTTTCCCAGTTGACTTACTTGGGTGGTACATTAGACTCTTTGCTCTTTGGGATAGAAGTATGCTGAAGGCTCTGGACAGCAAATGTTCTTTTTTATGCTCTGAGCCTGGACCTAAGGTTGAATTTTGAGTTGTTGGGGTTGAAAGGATGTAGGGAGCTCTGAGCCTGGACCTAAGGTTGAATTTTGGGTTGTTGGGGTTGAAAGGGTGTAGGGACGTGGTGGAAAGGAACTCTTGAGTGTGTAGTAAGGAAGAGAGTTCGTTTATTTCCTTTTTTTTTGGTGGATATTGTTTGTAGACGTGAAGACTAACAGCACTGAATCAAAATTAAATAATGTTTTATATGAAAGTGTTCTGGGTCATTTAGCCTTGATGCTAGGTTTAAATGTATTTTGAATCCAGTCTTTAAAAAATACAAATTAAAGCAGTTTTGGTGCGTTTCTTATTGATGAAAGTGTTGATCTGGTTGTTTCCCAGCAAATCCTATTGAAACAAGTAACTTATTTTTGGGGAATGTAATTAAAAGCACAAGAGTGTTTCTTCCTCCCTGGGCTGAAGGGTTATACAGACAGGAGCAGTCAGACAGCAAGAGAACAACTACAGCTGGAGTAGGTTGACCAGAATTGCTGTCTGATGACAACATCATTCTACTACACCTGGGGACTGTATGGCAGTACTGGACACATCCATTATTTATTTTTGCCGTAAAGACTATATCTAAAGTTTCAAGAACACTGCAAACTTTTACTAAAATGCCTGACAATGCAGATATTTTAATACATTACACAGCAAGTTACTAAAACATCCTCAGATGTTTCTCGTATGCTCTCACCTTCATTCCTGTCTAGGTTCCTGAAACTGTGTTTGAGGAGGTTCTGTTTGGCATCTTGCAAAGTGACCTCGCTTCAGCCTTCACATCTCCAGACAACCTGCACCTTTTGCTCGTGGGCATGCAGAAGTTCCCCGGTGTTCTGAAACCTCGAAATCTGAAGAAGCTGTTTGGCTCATCTACTGTTGTAAATGAGGAAAATATCCCCAGGTAAGTTCTTAAATAAGGGGCGCTAAATGCAACGTTCTTGGTCTCTTGGCTAGCAGTGAAAGAAATGTGGCTTTCATTCTGATACCTCTCTGTATTTGCATCTGCAGGTGCTGTTAAGGGTTAGGTGCTAACAGTTATGCAGGTTCCCAAATTATAGCACTCTCATTTCTCCCAAGAGGCGCAGCCTGCAGTGCTCAGGAGATGTTCTGTGTCCTTCAGCAGGATGAACTTGGCCTTCAGCAGTCCCCTTCCTCTGAGATCTCTCGCATTATTTTCTTTCTTCTTCTAGACTTGTAGAGCTTCTGCAAAGCGTTGCCAAATCTGAGAAGAAGGACAAGAAGTTGCCCAGTGTAGCATTTGATTTGCTACAAGTTTCACTGAAAGAAGGTGCCTTTGAACTGTTCTGGAAAGAAGGTGTAGAGGATGGGCTATTGAAGGAGAAATCAGGACCTACGAGGTTTGTCTGAAGTGGTTTGTTGTTTTCCATATTATCCTTTTATTTCTTGTCCCAGTCTCCAGAAGCTCCTGCCCTGGGGTAGGATGGAGCACATGGTTTCTCATGAACAATGTAAGAACTCTTGCTTTTGGTTATTTAGGTATTAATGAGAAATCTAGGAGTTAGTAAGATTTCTCTTAGAATTGTGATATATAACAAATTTGGGGTTAAATTTAACTAGGACAGCACATAAAAGTGGTGCACCTCATTGGGTATAGAGGTGTCTTAAATCTACTGCAGTTGAGTCTTGTTTTACTTGGCTTGGTTAAGTCTGAAAATACCCTTTGTATGCTCAACAGTGTTGCTTTTTTAGCCTGATTTCCTGCAGAAACGAGGCTGGTGCTGTCTGTCTAATAACTCCTGAGCTCATGGGGCAATTCTGATTAAATTTGATAGCAAGTTGCTGCTATCAGCAAGTTGCTAAGTAAATTTGCATAGTCAAAACCTAAGTATGTATTTATTAGGCTCATGGAAATAAATATCTGGGGAGAAGAGATCCAGAAAGTGGATCAAGGAAGGAACTGCTGGTGAGGATTCTAGACAGCAGCGGATCTGCTATGGGGAGAGATCTTAGCAGCTATCCTGGTCAGAGGAAGTGCTTTATTCTGATTAAATTTGATAGCAAGTTGCTGCTATCAGCAAGTTGCTAAGTAAATTTGCATAGTCAAAACCTAAGTATGTATTTATTAGGCTCATGGAAATAAATATCTGGGGAGAAGAGATCCAGAAAGTGGATCAAGGAAGGAACTGCTGGTGAGGATTCTAGACAGCAGTGGATCTGCTACGGGGAGAGATCTTAGCTATCCTGGTCAGAGGAAGTGCTTTGGGCAGTAAGATTTTTTGAACACAGGATCCATGAATTTTAGACTCGTGCCTTCCTGTGTGCTCCGTGTCTCCTGCCCCACCACTTCTTCTCTGTCTTACCCTTGCGTGTGGCTTTTCTGCTGTGCCTCTACCTGAGGGAATTTTCTTTGTTTCCACTCAGTTACATGTGCTACCGGTTGCTGGGCAGTGCTCTCCCCTTGTTATCTCTGGATCAGCTACAGGTGGTTCTCAAAGGGAAGGTGATGCAGCACTATGGAGAACACATGGTAACGACTCAGGTGGGTCTTCTGAAAGTAATTCTGCTCAGGGCTAAAGACCCCACCCTGAGCAGAAGTCTTCTCCACCCCCTTTTCTAGTTTCACGTTGTCTTTTATTAAAAAGTTTATGTAATTTTAGACCTTGGACTCTTCCTAAAAGTAAGGTGGTTGTATGACCACTGGTTGCAGTGGGCTGAGCATAAACTGTATTTAATCATCATTGCCTATTTCTGTATTTTTGTTCAGACTTATATTAAGGGTTTTGAAATTGTTCAGCACTGACCCACCTGCTTTCAGTGATGTTGCTGAGAAAGTTCTAACGATGGGGGAAGCAGAGCCCTCAGCATATTGGCAATGTCATGTGTCATCCTTTAACAGTCCTTTTGATTTGTGTGTCCAGAAACTCCTTTTTGTCTGTCATTGTGCTGGGTGTTACATGAACATTTGAAGGCAAAGACAAAAAGGGACAGCTCATGCTTTTCTCTGTGTTAATGCTTTTTTCAATAAGAACATCTGAGGTTTAAGCATGAATTTTATTTGGGAATTGGATTTTTGGAACTCCTCTTTCTCCTTCCCTCCTGGGAAGCCAGAAAACACAGTCCTGCAATAAAGGGAAGAAGAATAAAAGGGGAATACTGATAAAAAAAGGCTTTGGCTTGTTGTTTTTTGAAAGAAATGTGGCTTTCATTCTGATACCTCTCTGTATTTGCATCTGCAGGTGCTGTTAAGGGTTAGGTGCTAACAGTTATGCAGGTTCCCAAATTATAGCACTCTCATTTCTCCCAAGAGGCGCAGCCTGCAGTGCTCAGGAGATGTTCTGTGTCCTTCAGCAGGATGAACTTGGCCTTCAGCAGTCCCCTTCCTCTGAGATCTCTCGCATTATTTTCTTTCTTCTTCTAGACTTGTAGAGCTTCTGCAAAGCGTTGCCAAATCTGAGAAGAAGGACAAGAAGTTGCCCAGTGTAGCATTTGATTTGCTACAAGTTTCACTGAAAGAAGGTGCCTTTGAACTGTTCTGGAAAGAAGGTGTAGAGGATGGGCTATTGAAGGAGAAATCAGGACCTACGAGGTTTGTCTGAAGTGGTTTGTTGTTTTCCATATTATCCTTTTATTTCTTGTCCCAGTCTCCAGAAGCTCCTGCCCTGGGGTAGGATGGAGCACATGGTTTCTCATGAACAATGTAAGAACTCTTGCTTTTGGTTATTTAGGTATTAATGAGAAATCTAGGAGTTAGTAAGATTTCTCTTAGAATTGTGATATATAACAAATTTGGGGTTAAATTTAACTAGGACAGCACATAAAAGTGGTGCACCTCATTGGGTATAGAGGTGTCTTAAATCTACTGCAGTTGAGTCTTGTTTTACTTGGCTTGGTTAAGTCTGAAAATACCCTTTGTATGCTCAACAGTGTTGCTTTTTTAGCCTGATTTCCTGCAGAAACGAGGCTGGTGCTGTCTGTCTAATAACTCCTGAGCTCATGGGGCAATTCTGATTAAATTTGATAGCAAGTTGCTGCTATCAGCAAGTTGCTAAGTAAATTTGCATAGTCAAAACCTAAGTATGTATTTATTAGGCTCATGGAAATAAATATCTGGGGAGAAGAGATCCAGAAAGTGGATCAAGGAAGGAACTGCTGGTGAGGATTCTAGACAGCAGTGGATCTGCTACGGGGAGAGATCTTAGCTATCCTGGTCAGAGGAAGTGCTTTGGGCAGTAAGATTTTTTGAACACAGGATCCATGAATTTTAGACTCGTGCCTTCCTGTGTGCTCCGTGTCTCCTGCCCCACCACTTCTTCTCTGTCTTACCCTTGCGTGTGGCTTTTCTGCTGTGCCTCTACCTGAGGGAATTTTCTTTGTTTCCACTCAGTTACATGTGCTACCGGTTGCTGGGCAGTGCTCTCCCCTTGTTATCTCTGGATCAGCTACAGGTGGTTCTCAAAGGGAAGGTGATGCAGCACTATGGAGAACACATGGTAACGACTCAGGTGGGTCTTCTGAAAGTAATTCTGCTCAGGGCTAAAGACCCCACCCTGAGCAGAAGTCTTCTCCACCCCCTTTTCTAGTTTCACGTTGTCTTTTATTAAAAAGTTTATGTAATTTTAGACCTTGGACTCTTCCTAAAAGTAAGGTGGTTGTATGACCACTGGTTGCAGTGGGCTGAGCATAAACTGTATTTAATCATCATTGCCTATTTCTGTATTTTTGTTCAGACTTATATTAAGGGTTTTGAAATTGTTCAGCACTGACCCACCTGCTTTCAGTGATGTTGCTGAGAAAGTTCTAACGATGGGGGAAGCAGAGCCCTCAGCATATTGGCAATGTCATGTGTCATCCTTTAACAGTCCTTTTGATTTGTGTGTCCAGAAACTCCTTTTTGTCTGTCATTGTGCTGGGTGTTACATGAACATTTGAAGGCAAAGACAAAAAGGGACAGCTCATGCTTTTCTCTGTGTTAATGCTTTTTTCAATAAGAACATCTGAGGTTTAAGCATGAATTTTATTTGGGAATTGGATTTTTGGAACTCCTCTTTCTCCTTCCCTCCTGGGAAGCCAGAAAACACAGTCCTGCAATAAAGGGAAGAAGAATAAAAGGGGAATACTGATAAAAAAAGGCTTTGGCTTGTTTTTTTTTTTTTTGTGGTAATGTAATCCTGAACTCCTCCTGTGGGCCCAAAAATCATTGCCCTCTCTTGGGAGGAATAGGACTTTGCAGGTTTTTTTTCTGGTCTGGTATCAAAGCAGCAACAGAGGTGCGTGCTTGCTCTGAAAATAATGCCAGTGTAGCATTTGATTTGCTACAAGTTTCACTGAAAGAAGGTGCCTTTGAACTGTTCTGGAAAGAAGGTATAGAGGATGGGCTACTGAAGGAGAAATCAGGACCTACAAGGTTTGTCTTAACATATGTGGTTTGTTGTTTTCCATATTATCCTTTTATTTGTTGTTTTCCATATTATCCTTTTATTTTTTGTCCCAGTCTCCAGAAGCTCCTGCCCTGGGGTAGGATGGAGCATATGGTTTCTCATGAACAATGTAAGAACTCTTGCTTTTGGTTGTTTAGGTATTAATGAGAAACTAGTGGGATCCTAAATCTAGGAGTTAGTAAGATTTCTCTTAGAATTGTGATATATAACAAATTTGGGGTTAAACTTAACTAGGACAGCACATAAAGGTGATGCATCTCATTGGGTATAGAGGTGTCTTAAATCTACTTGGCTTGGTTAAGTCTGAAAATACCCTTTGTGTGCTCAACAGTGTTGCTTTTTTAGCCTGATTTTCTGCAGAAACGAGGCTGGTGCTGTCCATCTAATAACTCCTGAGCTCATGGGGCAATTCTGATTAAATTTGATAGCAAGTTGCTGCCAAAACTAAGTAAATTTGCATAGTCAAAACCTACGTAAGTTCTTATTAGGCTCATGGACATAAATATCTGGGGAGAAGAGATCCAGAAAGTGGATCAAGGAAGGAACTGCTGGTGAGGATTCTAGACAGCAGCGGATCTGCTATGGGGAGAGATCTTAGCAGCTATCCTGGTCAGAGGAAGTGCTTTGGCAGTAAGATTTTTTGAACACAGGATCCATGAATTTTAGACTCGTGCCTTCCTGTGTGCTCCATGTCTCCTGCCCCACCACTTCTCTGTCTTACCCTTGTGTGTGGCTTTTCTGCTGTGCCTCTACCTGAGGGAATTTTTCTTTGTTTCCACTCAGTTACATGTGCTACCGGTTGCTGGGCAGTGCTCTCCCCTTGTTATCTCTGGATCAGCTACAGGTGGTTCTCAAAGGGAAGGTGATGCAGCACTATGGAGAACACATGGTAACGACTCAGGTGGGTCTTCTGAAAGTAATTCTGCTCAGGGCTAAAGACCCCACCCTGAGCAGAAGTCTTCTCCACCCCCTTTTCTAGTTTCACGTTGTCTTTTATTAAAAAGTTTATGTAATTTTAGACCTTGGACTCTTCCTAAAAGTAAGGTGGTTGTATGACCACTGGTTGCAGTGGGCTGAGCATAAACTGTATTTAATCATCATTGCCTATTTCTGTATTTTTGTTCAGACTTATATTAAGGGTTTTGAAATTGTTCAGCACTGACCCACCTGCTTTCAGTGATGTTGCTGAGAAAGTTCTAATGATGGGGGAAGCAGAGCCCTCAGCATATTGGCAATGTCATGTGTCATCCTTTAACAGTCCTTTTGATTTGTGTGTCCAGAAACTCCTTTTTGTCTGTCATTGTGCTGGGTGTTACATGAACATTTGAAGGCAAAGACAAAAAGGGACAGCTCATGCTTTTCTCTGTGTTAATGCTTTTTTCAATAAGAACATCTGAGGTTTAAGCATGAATTTTATTTGGGAATTGGATTTTTGGAACTCCTCTTTCTCCTTCCCTCCTGGGAAGCCAGAAAACACAGTCCTGCAATAAAGGGAAGAAGAATAAAAGGGGAATACTGATAAAAAAAGGATTTGGCTTGTTGTTTTTTTTTTGTGGTAATGTAATCCTGAACTCCTCATGTGGGCCCAAAAATAATTGCCCTTTCTTGGGAGGAACAGGACTTTGCAGTTTTTTTCTGGTCTGGTATCAAAGCAACAATAAATGTGTGTGCTTGCTCTGAAAATAACACTTGCCATGGTGCCTCCCTGTATGGACCAACTTTCTCCAGGGTTTATCCACTGACTTAATTATTTTCCTGTTTCTTGCTTTTTATGCTTGTTGCACAGTGAATTTGGCTGTGTTCTTCCACGTGCATCAACAAAATTAATTTAATTCCTGTCTGAAACATACAAATCCACTGAAGACAAAGGTTGACTAAATGGAAAGAGAAACCCATAATATTGTTGATGATGAGGAAGTAGAGAAAATCTTATTTGAATTTGTTGTTGGTTTTGTGGGTTTGTTTTGTTCCTTTATTTAGGTATTAATGAGAAATCTAGGAGTTAGTAAGATTTCTCTTAGAATTGTGATATATAACAAATTTGGGGTTAAATTTAACTAGGACAGCACATAAAAGTGGTGCACAATTGTGATATATAACAAATTTGGGGTTAAACTTAACTAGGACAGCACATAAAGGTGATGCATCTCATTGGGTATAGAGGTGTCTTAAATCTACTGCAGTTGAGTCTTGTTTCTTGACCCCAGTTATTTGTTTTGGAAAGCAAATACTGTTACCTGTGGCTTCTTGTGGGGTTCCAGTTCTTGACCCCAGTTATTTGTTTTGGAAAGCAAGTACTGTTACCTGTGCCTTCTTATGGGGTTCCAGTTGTTGGAGATGGAACTAGACAAAGCTTGAGTCTGATATTTACTGACAGTTACCTTCCTGAATCCACTTCTTTCAACAGGGGAGCCAATGTACTTGATTTGCTTTTGTTGAGAGATGATTGATGAACCCCCTGTTGTGAGTAATTAGTTTAATTACAGCAACCTCTCGTGGAGTTTTTCTCCCAGCTTTCATACTGATGCACAAGTATTAAGTTGTGCAACAGTGGAAGCAGGAACTTGCTAAGTTGTATTCTTTGTGAGATTTCTTGCAGGGTATTTATGGCTATCAGCAAGTTGCTAAGTAAATTTGCATAGTCAAAACCTAAGTATGTATTTATTAGGCTCATGGAAATAAATATCTGGGGAGAAGAGATCCAGAAAGTGGATCAAGGAAGGAACTGCTGGTGAGGATTCTAGACAGCAGTGGATCTGCTACGGGGAGAGATCTTAGCTATCCTGGTCAGAGGAAGTGCTTTGGGCAGTAAGATTTTTTGAACACAGGATCCATGAATTTTAGACTCGTGCCTTCCTGTGTGCTCCATGTCTCCTGCCCCACCACTTCTCTGTCTTACCCTTGTGTGTGGCTTTTCTGCTGTGCCTCTACCTGAGGGAATTTTTCTTTGTTTCCACTCAGTTACATGTGCTACCGGTTGCTGGGCAGTGCTCTCCCCTTGTTATCTCTGGATCAGCTACAGGTGGTTCTCAAAGGGAAGGTGATGCAGCACTATGGAGAACACATGGTAACGACTCAGGTGGGTCTTCTGAAAGTAATTCTGCTCAGGGCTAAAGACCCCACCCTGAGCAGAAGTCTTCTCCACCCCCTTTTCTAGTTTCACGTTGTCTTTTATTAAAAAGTTTATGTAATTTTAGACCTTGGACTCTTCCTAAAAGTAAGGTGGTTGTATGACCACTGGTTGCAGTGGGCTGAGCATAAACTGTATTTAATCATCATTGCCTATTTCTGTATTTTTGTTCAGACTTATATTAAGGGTTTTGAAATTGTTCAGCACTGACCCACCTGCTTTCAGTGATGTTGCTGAGAAAGTTCTAATGATGGGGGAAGCAGAGCCCTCAGCATATTGGCAATGTCATGTGTCATCCTTTAACAGTCCTTTTGATTTGTGTGTCCAGAAACTCCTTTTTGTCTGTCATTGTGCTGGGTGTTACATGAACATTTGAAGGCAAAGACAAAAAGGGACAGCTCATGCTTTTCTCTGTGTTAATGCTTTTTTCAATAAGAACATCTGAGGTTTAAGCATGAATTTTATTTGGGAATTGGATTTTTGGAACTCCTCTTTCTCCTTCCCTCCTGGGAAGCCAGAAAACACAGTCCTGCAATAAAGGGAAGAAGAATAAAAGGGGAATACTGATAAAAAAAGGCTTTGGCTTGTTGTTTTTTTTTTGTGGTAATGTAATCCTGAACTCCTCATGTGGGCCCAAAAATAATTGCCCTTTCTTGGGAGGAACAGGACTTTGCAGTTTTTTTCTGGTCTGGTATCAAAGCAACAATAAATGTGTGTGCTTGCTCTGAAAATAACACTTGCCATGGTGCCTCCCTGTATGGACCAACTTTCTCCAGGGTTTATCCACTGACTTAATTATTTTCCTGTTTCTTGCTTTTTATGCTTGTTGCACAGTGAATTTGGCTGTGTTCTTCCACGTGCATCAACAAAATTAATTTAATTCCTGTCTGAAACATACAAATCCACTGAAGACAAAGGTTGACTAAATGGAAAGAGAAACCCATAATATTGTTGATGATGAGGAAGTAGAGAAAATCTTATTTGAATTTGTTGTTGGTTTTGTGGGTTTGTTTTGTTCCTTGACCCCAGTTATTTGTTTTGGAAAGCAAGTACTGTTACCTGTGCCTTCTTATGGGGTTCCAGTTGTTGGAGATGGAACTAGACAAAGCTTGAGTCTGATATTTACTGACAGTTACCTTCCTGAATCCACTTCTTTCAACAGGGGAGCCAATGTACTTGATTTGCTTTTGTTGAGAGATGATTGATGAACCCCCTGTTGTGAGTAATTAGTTTAATTACAGCAACCTCTCGTGGAGTTTTTCTCCCAGCTTTCATACTGATGCACAAGTATTAAGTTGTGCAACAGTGGAAGCAAGAACTTGCTAAGTTGTATTTTGTGTGAGATTTCTTGCAGAGTATTTATATTATAATTGGATGGATTTGTAGTTAATTAGGAATTCATAGCCCCTTTATTTAAAAGAATGGTGTTCTCTAGACATTTGTTACTGTTTCTGCTCCTGTCAGGTCAATGTATTGATCGTGATGCTACACCAAACAAGTTGTTTTATTAATTTACTAAAGTTGCATTGCATTTTTGGAATGAAGCTGCAGCTTGTCCTCTTAGAGGTTTCTCTGGTTACGCTTTTGTTTTTTTTCTGGAACAAATGAGTAGGATTGAACACTGGGGGCTATGAAAAGACGTAAGGAAATGGAATGTGCAGTGAGATGGGACGTGCCCTGGTGTATGCCTTGTGGATGGATCAGTGGCAGGATTGAGAATAGGACAAAACAACACCACCTCAGGGTATGATTTCTAGGTTAAACATGTCAACTCCCCCTCCTTTCAGGATGCCTCAACACTTCTGAGACACCAGGGAGAGGAGGTGGGATTTTTTCTACCCACTGTGGATCAGGAGGCTCCAGAGCTGCTAGATGAGACTGGAATTGATGTGGGGGAGTTTCCAAATCGAGGGAAAGTCTAAGGCAGATGATGTGAGAAACATCATGGGCTTTTCCCCAAAATAAGAGCTGGTCAGCCTGGGAGCTCAACTGCACTGGCCAGCATGTGGTCCAGCCTGCTGAAGCTTGGCTGTTTGGGAAAGTCCAAATTAAAGGGTTGAAGCTGGTACATGATAGGTTTCTGTGGTTCCTTATGGTGGTTGCTCATATATGAGGTGAAATTGATGACCTGCTCTATGCCTTATGACAAATGTTCATGACAAATGTGACTTAATTTACTTACCGCAGTCAAATCTGTAAAGTGATTTGTTCTCATAAAGACACTCGGACTCAGTGTGAGGTTCCTGACTTGCTTTTTTGTCCATGTTTTTCAGCTTCCAGAGCGATTTAAGTTTGGTCCAGACATGGAAGCGTATCTAGATGAATTTCTGAGCGGCTGTGATGACCTGGAGAAGCAGCTGGCAGTGGTCATCGGCTTCTCTACTCTCACCAACCAAGGCAGTCCAGTGTTTCCCAGCTCTTCCAAGGTAGTCAGACACCTGCACCCGGTGGCATTGCAAAAATACGTTGACTGGCTCAAAGACATGTTCCTCAGGCCAGACTTGGACTGTTGTTTAGACTTCTCAAGTAACCGGCAAAAGCACAACCGGGAAAATGTAAACATGTGAGTGTATAGATGATGCACCTTCCTCTTCTCTTCCCTTCCTGTTTTGTGGTTGGAGTAGCTACCTGTGGGAAGTCTGGTTTGGACAGCCAGAGTTTGCTGGTTCTTTTGCCATGAGTTGACAATTGTCATCTATTCTGTTTCCTCTGTCTCAGAAGTTTTAGCCCCAGCCATCTGACACTTTTGCTGGACAAAATTAAGTTCTGCAAGTAGAAAGAAACGTGGTGAGAACCAGCCAGCCTGACTAAAGCAGACTGGGTGACCAAAGAAGCCTTTTCTCTTGTTTTTCTAGCCCTGACAGCTCCTTTGGCAAAGATCTCCAGTGGCTTCCTTTTCCACTACAGCCTCTCAGGTCTTTGTAGGAATTGTGCATCCCTTTTATCTGACTATTAAACAGGCCTGAGTGCACTCATCTCCTTGGCCCAGAGCAAAGCACCCAATTCCACATCTCAAAAGTAGTCTGTAAATATATATATCTTTGAGAGGCATTTGTAGCAATTTCTAGCTGGAAAAGCTTCCCAAGAGAAAGTTGTATCTTCCTTGGTGCTGCTGCTCACTGAATAGCCACAGCTTGGTGCTGTGTGTACTGGGTTACTTGTGGAGGCTTCTTCCAAGGAAGATATAAGCTCTTAAAGCAGCGTATGTGTTACTTGTGCACCTATAACCTCACTGTACTGACTACTGCAATTTTTGAAGCGCTTTTTGCTAAACTGCAGTACCTCAGTGGGGTAAATAGGCTGTCTTTTGTGTAGTAAAAAGCAAACTTGTGAAAATTTTCTCTCTTCTTATGTACCTGTTGCTTTCTTACTACATAACTTTGCCATCATTAGTGTAGAGCCTCTAAATATCCAAAAGTCACCTCTTGCTGCAGTGGATTGTGTGGTTTGTCTTTATTTCAGGGTAGTGTTCAAATTACTGATTCTGTCCTTTTCCTTATTGAAAGAGCACACCTTAAGGCTACTCGATTAAGAAAATGGATCATGCATCGACTTTCTACCATCATTGAAAGTTCAGCGAAAAAAGAAGAGAGCCTCGTGATGGACATTTCCAGGTGAGAATGACTTTAGAATGAAAGACTTAGTGCCACATGTGCTTGGAATAATTCTGTTTAGCAATGTAGCAGTGTTCAAAGTAAGCTGACACAGTAGTGGAAATATTCTGTAACATAAGTACTTTAGGAGACTAGTTTTCTGTTTTCAAAATACTGCCTGCAAACTTGGAAAAACTCTTGTGATAAATAGTTCAGGCACTTAAAATCACCTTAGTCCCATTTGGTTTTGGTACATTTTAGGTTCCTGGGTACCTAGACTGCTGGAAGATATTACTTGTAATCTTTGCATCAGATCTTAATAAGTATTTATCTGTCCATTTAAAAGTCTTGGAGAATATGACCCAAATCTGACAGTCTTGAGTATTGTATTGTGTGGCATCAAGTGTTGGCACTTCACTATTTTGAAATCCTGAGCATCCTTCTGTCTTTTTTACCCTGTGTACCTTGAGGAAAGAGTCATCTATTTATGAACAGTGCCTTTTTTCCAGCACATGGACATCCTTGAATAAAAATGTTGTCAATATCTGGTGCTATTTGGCTCTCATATATGGGCTGGCTTTGCTTTGTTATGACCAAGCTGGCTCTTAGTTTTGTCCTTGTTTCTGTCCGTTGTAGGTTTTGCTTCTTCCATGCTTTCTTTGAGACTAAGAAGAAGACCGCCCAAATATGTGAGACGAGTGTCCTTCCAGCAGAGCCCCTAGATGGACAGTTTCATTCAATGGTAGAAAACTGTTTCTTTGGGTAAGGATTTTGCTTGCATGCTTTAAACTTGGAAATTCTTTTTTTCCTGAGGATAAGATCAGCCTACAAATGGCAGGGCAAGAGGTTTGGGATTGTGAGCTGCTCTCGGAGCATTTGTTTGACTCCAGGACTAGGGAATGGCTTTTTTAAAGGAGGTCGTAGATGAATTTCCCAAAGATCCATAAGTTTTGTCCAATAAAAACACGATTTTGCATGGCAAACCTGCTGAGTATGTGTGTGATGATCAGGTAGGTGTAGAGTTGAGCTCAGACTGCTTCTTCTCATAAGATTCCCATTGCTTCTGTCGCAAGCCAGAAGTGGAAGGACCCAAGAGAGAGGTGGTGAGTTTTGTGGGTTGCTGTTGGCTTTCTGTCTGCTCTGCACGTGAGCTGCTGATGGCTCCATGGTCCTCCCTGTACTAAGGGAGGTGGAATAAGAGATGCTTTTAGGTGTTTGCCAAAGCTAGTGCTTCAGCCTCAGGAGAGGAGCTATACATTACAATGAGCTTGATAAGAGATGCTTTTAGGTGTTTGCCAAAGCTGGTGCTCCAGCCTCAGGAGAGGAAAAACAGAGGACGTGGTGGGACACAATGAGAAACAACTGAGGATAATAGTCAGTGTCCTTGGGGGTGCCAGATGTGCTTGGGGACACCAGTACAATGAGCTATACATTACAATGAGCTTGGATACAGGCATGAGTTGAAACTTATGCCCTGTGAATCTGGGTTGCAGTGAGTGACCAAAACTCTGGGATGAGAATGCTCTACTGGTGGGTGTTATTTTGGAAAGTGTGAGAAGGTCATCTGGTTCCTCTGACAGTAATGTGCTGGCTGTTTTTCTTTGCAGGTTACTTCAGACTTTAAACACCTTGACTGTTTTGGGGGATACAGCAAAGGCTGCAGCCTTGAGGGAGAAGCACATCCATGGTGTGACTGCAGATGGGAAGCTGTGGATCTTTCTCCTTGTTGAGTATGCCAACAAGCTGCTCTCCAGTGAGCATGTCAAAGCTGTGAAGCCTTTAACCAAGGAGCAGAGGGATGCCTGGGAGAGGTGAGATTTGGCCAATAAAAGAGAAATTGTATTCTTTTATACTCCTGCTGTTGTTCTGGCCACTGTAGCACAGCCATTTCTCAGCAGTGGCAGTACTATTTCTTCCCTTTGAGGATCCTGCACTTGCCAGTGGGTTTCAGGATGCCTTTCGCTTTCTCATCACCTCATTCCTTTCTTCCTGTCCCTTCTGTGTGTTAAGCATGTGCAGGTGACTATGTCCTTTTCTGGTTTTGCTCATAATCCTTCTTCCAAGCATGATTTTAACTCTGCTGATCTTTTCCCCTAAGAATCCCCATACTAATTTCTTAGTGATTCTTTTCTGATGCTCTTTTCTGAGCTTGATTTCCTGTAAAGATCTATGCCTTGGCTGTAGTATTAGGAGTCTCACCTGTGCCCAGGTGCAGAGGTTTTTATAAGCCACACCAGATGAGATGCTGTTGTTGGTTTACGATTGTATACTATATGTATGTCCAAGTTCAATAAATTAAATGCTAAGTACAGAAAATAGTACTATGGGTTTGGTTATATTTTTAGTCTGGTCATAAGAGAGGATTTGCTGTTGTAATTGTGAAAGACTGAGAAGGATTTCTTTCTCCAGAACACTTGAGTCTGTGAAGAATCTGCAGAAGAAGGAAAATAAGTCAGACTGTGCCAAAATTGCTGCATTCCAGCAACTTCTGCTTTTAATGGCCGTTCATCTTTTCAAGGTAAGACCTCTGAAGCATATTTGAGTGGTGTAAAATAGGCTGACAGCTGGGCTTTCTTAACACTGAGCTGTAGAGTTTCTTTGTATTCAGAGATCCAACCTTTCACAGCCTCTGGCTGCTATAAGTGAGCAATTGGCAGCTAATAAACTGTCATTCTTCTGACTGTAGACAGCTTCCAAGGTCAAAGTTTGGCTTGAGCATTGGTTTTGCCTTTGCTTTGCTGTTGAGTGGAGCAATTTTTACATAGATTCATATTTCTGTGCAAAGTGGTTGTAGTAGCTGATTTTAATACCTGTACCTATTTAGAGAGGTACTCAGATTTGGGGTATGTTCCTTCTGTTGCTGTTGGTAGTGAGGAATTCAGAGAGGGTGTTTACTGTCTGCTTGTGATCAAACAGAATCCGTCTGAAACAATGGATGTTCTGAGCGACCTTCTGAAATGCACAGAGAGGGCATTCAGCAAAGAACCTAAGAAGAAAAAGGCTGGTGAGTCCTTCCTGCAGAAAGAAATGGAGTGAGTTTGTTCACTGTCTCTCAAAAGACAGAAGACTGTCAAAAGACAGTTCTGTGTTAGTGAAGCACTCTTGACTGCATTGGTTCTGGCGTGATGCACTTATCCCCAGGAGAATCTCCTCTCCTCCATTCCCCTTCCTTGTCTTTCTAAATCTCTTGCCTCTTGCTCCCACTCTCTCTCCACATCTTCAGTGGGTTGTGTTCCTCTGTGCCTGTTAAAGGGTAGGTGGGCTTCAGAGCTGGCCATTGTTCAGATGAGCAGTGTCCAAGGGAGTTCACTCTCTTTGAGTCCTTGTTCTATGGTGGCCAAGACCTTGCCTGAAGTGGTGGCATCTGTCTGCCAAGGCAAAGCTATGGGCTCTCCCAGCTTCTGGCAAACCTGAAACTTGCTACTTTCAGAGCTCAAGGTTGGAGCAAACTAAATGTGTCTGTGTGTAGACACAGCCTGTTTGCTCACTTAGGCTAGTCCTTGTTTAGGATCTGTGGAGCTAAGGTTGTAACTTGACCAGGAACGAACCTGGCTTGGTCTTTTGACTTCGTTTCTAACTATGGTCTTGTTGTTCTCTTTAAATATCTGTGTAAGTTTGAGGGTACTGTGAAAATAAAAGCTGTAATTTTATGATGTCTTGGTTGTATGTAGATCAGGATTCCCAGACTTTTGCACTAATGGACCAGTTTGAAATGTCAGCACTTCTCATGGGCTGCTGTGACTCCTGGTTTTGTTGAAAACACTATAAAATGTGTATACTTTTGCTGACTAGCTGCTGATTGCTTTCATGTGGCCAAGTAGGTGTTGCATGATTTGCAGAACTGCTAATCTAAGTAATGATTTAATGAATAGTAGGTTTTGTTACCTGGTAGTGCTTTCCAGTGGCCTACTGACAATTTCAGCCATGTATCTCCCTATGGTTAGTAGCTTTCTGATGCAGCTACAATCTTTAGCTTCACACTCAATTATTTCTGGTCTGTGTTGCTGAATGAGTACGTCTAATAGTCAGGTAGAAGGACTATCATCTTTTCCTTGGTCAATTTTTCTGCAGGCTGTTATGGATGTGCCAGTGCAGTGTTTTTAGCTCTTCCTGTCATTGTTCCCATGCAGACAATGCAGAGCCAGGATGGATTGAGGTGATGGTGGAAATCCTTCTCTCCCTCCTTGCCCAGCCCAGCCTGCTCATACGTCGCATTTCCAGGAGCGTGTTTGTACGAATATGCCCCAATCTGAACAAGAGGGGTTTGCAGCTGATCCTGGATGTAAGTAACTAGTAGGGCATTGTGCTTTTCACCTCTCTTCTCCTTAACAGATGTACAAGCATGTCTCCATTTTGGAATTAAATAAAAGCTTCCTTGATTTAGTAAATGTCTGATAATGTATGCTACTGAATTTTAAATGTAGCTTACAGAGATGTGGTTTTGTTTGTTTGTTTGTATGCTACTGAATTTTAAATGTAGCTTACAGAGATGTGGTTTTGTTTTGTTTGGTTGGTGTTTTTCAATGGGAACCTGAGATCTGCTAACCTTAAGTGGTATTCTTTGGTAGAAAAAAGCTGAAGAAATTCCTGGGTCAGTTCATATAGCTGGTAGATTTTATATGTGAATATAAATGGTAACGACTTCTTTTTCCTAGAAAGGCTAAAGATAGAGGTGCTAAAAGTAAGTGACACTGCAAATCTGAATTAGTCGTACCACTGGGTAAGTAGTTTTAGGCTGAAGAAATTCCTGGGTCAGTTCATATAGCTGGTAGATTTTATATGTGAATATAAATGGTAACGACTTCTTTTTTCCTAGAAAGGCTAAACATAGAGGTGCTAAAAGTAAGTGACACTGCAAATCTGAATTAGTTGTACCACTGGGTAAGGTGGTGTCTTCTGGGAGAGTAAAATGTTGATTGCAAAGATGAGCTGTCAGGTACTATATATGATGAACCTAATACTTCATTTTTAACAAGTCAAAATGTGTGATGTGAGCAGTCTCTTCAGTTTTCTCCACCTTTTTTATTTCTTATGGAAAGAACTTAGTGTATTAACAAACATAATATTACAAGCCAGAAAGCTGAATGCCCTTCCTTACTCTTTCATTATTCCACTGGCTTACTGTGCCAAAAGTCCTGTCTGTTGCACACCAGAAATGCATCAAAACAAAATGCTGGAAAAACACAAATCTCTCTTTTTTGCAGGTTCTTGACCCATACCAGGAGCAAAATGAAGAAAGTGCTGTTGTTGTGATGGAAGAATCAAACAAAAAGATGAAACCTACACAGGACGTGGTAATTGATATGCCATTGCCATTGACAAATACTCTTCAAACCTTTACTGTTTAATGTTTCTCTTGATGCGTGGTAATAGATGTAATTGCATTTCTCTGTTGAGTAAAATGGCTATTAAGATTTATTTTAAAAGTGCAACACACAAAGGTCCTGTTGGAAGTGCATGTTTGCATGTGGTAATTGATATGCCATTGCCATTGACAAATACTCTTCAAACCTTTACTGTTTAATGTTTCTCCTGATGCGTGGTAATAGATGTAATTGCATTTCTCTGTTGAGTAAAATGGCTATTAAGATTTATTTTAAAACTGCAACACACAAAGGGCCCGTTGGAAGTGCATGTTTGTTAGTCTCTTGGTCTTGAAGGAGAATGCTGTTGTCGGTATGGCTGTTGGAATAGATGACTTCTCGAGAGAAATGACTGCATCCTGAAATTGGCACTGGCCTCTTTTCTTTCCAGCCACAGACTGGATCTTGGGTTTTAAGAACTGCAGAGATTCAAGTCACAGAGCATTACAAGCATTAGCAGAAAGGAGAGTCAGATTGGAGCTGTTATTACAGATGTTCCTTAGAAGCTTCTTTTTGATACTCTAATATGACAGAGAAATCTGTATTATGTTCTGCTTTTAGCTTTTGGGAAGATTTGGGATTTGGTATCTTGTTATCCGAGGTGTGGAAGCTTCTTTTTGATACTCTAATATGACAGAGAAGTCTGTATTATGTTCTGCTTTTAGCTTTTGGGAAGATCTGGTATCTCGTTATCTGAGGTGTCTTTACTTGAATCTGAGGGCTGGAAGCGGTGGGGTGAGGGGAGGCCTGAGTATTTATTTGTGAACACATGAGAATTGAGTAGAACTTGAAGAACAGTGGGGTCAGGAGATGAACTTTTCTTCCTCAGGACGAGGAAGGAAGTGAGGACTCGGATGAAGACGACTCTGAGGAAGAGAATGACAGTGGAGATGAGGAAAAGAATGAAGAAGTAGATGATGATTTTCGCAGTCAGCTGATGAACGTTCTCCAAGCAGGGAATGCATTGGTATGTTTTCACTGCCTACCTTGATACAGGTACCAGGAGGTTTGGGGTGGTGAAGGATTATCTAATACCCACAAACTATGGGAGCCCATGCAGTGATAACCCTGGCAGTCATCTTTCTAGGACTTTTGAAGCGGGAGGTCAGGATCGTCAAAGCCAGCTGTGGGAATAAGTAATTTGTTCTTTTATTTATTGTTAATGTGTCTTGAGTGCTTTAGCTTCTCCAGTCTAGCCTGATGCAGCTTATATTCCTGCCTGTAATAAAACAAGATTGATGTGAACTAAAGCACTGAGGTACTGTTACATGGTGCCTGTATTGACTGGCCTGTGTGGGGGAGTGTGATCTCTGGGCTGCTCTGGAGACTTCTCCTAGCAGAGTTGGAGTGTGGTTTAATGATTCCTATAAAGGCTACAGACACAGCAGCATATTAACCTCTTTACTGAAGCAGCAGCCCAGAGGGAGTCAGTGTCAAAACCTCAGCCTTTTCCCTCTCTTGATCCTCTATCTCTGTGTTAGTAATGTGCAGCCACGATTACCTAATAGGAAATATGAACTAGATTTCTCATGGGGCTGAGCATCTTTTTTCCCTCCCCTATAGCTACATCCCTACTGTGAGTCTGATCTTGGCTCTGGTTCTCTTCCCCGCTACCTTTTTGAAGTATGTGAGATGACATGTTGTCTTTGCATTCTGAAAACAAAAGGGAGGAGATGACAGTGACGAAGAGCTGGATGATGAAGCTATGATGGCTCTTGACAAGAACATCTCAGCCCTTTTTGCAGAGCAGCAGAAACGGATCCAGGCGAAGAAGGATGAGAAAGACAGGATACGGAAAGAAACGATCCTACGGAGGGATTTCAAGATTAAGGTGGGAGATAAGTGTTTGGTGTGAAGGCCTTTGTATTACCAGCATGTTAATTGTAACCTACTGCATGCCATGAGCTACGTAACACTGAAGAGCTTTGACATTCTTGTATGTCATAAACTCCTGGAGATTGAGTCTGGATTATTCTGGCTTTGTACAGCACCTGGCACAGCAATATCATGGTCAGTGCCTGCAGCTTCACAGGCCTACTTCAAAACAAAAAACAGGGATATGCTTTCAAAAAGTGAACTGTGGTTTCCATTTGCTGATCTGAAATGCTTCAATTTATTGGATTGTTCCTCACACCTACCCAAAGGTAGGTGCCTGACAGTTTTTGTAAACTGGACAGGCTTGATGTGCCTTAATGTGAGGTGCGTAAAGTCCTGCTGGTACTTTTGCAGTGTAAGGTTGTTGTTGTTTTTCTTGTTTGTTTTGATATGCTAGTAAAATCAGGAGATTTTGATTAACACCCTGTTCTGATTTGAGGTAGAACAGAACCGATTTTCTTTTTGGTAATTTTACTTTTCAGTAAAACCACAAATTGGTGATTTGTGACTGTAATACTGACTTCAGGCCACCTGGTGTCAGCATGGACTGTCCAGGGACAGCTCCAGCCACTCAGGTATAGAAATGTCTAGTGCCAGATTAGCCAAAATGAAAGCTGAATGGAGTATCGGTAATTTTACTTTTCAGTAAAACCACAAATTGGTGATTTGTGACTGTAATACTGACTTCAGGCCACCTGGTGTCAGCATGGACTGTCCAGGGACAGCTCCAGCCACTCAGGTATAGAAATGGCTAGTGCCAGATTAGCCAAAATGAAAGCAGAACAGTATTGTGACCCATTGGCTTTACTGCATTTTCATTCTGATGCTGTACTCTAAGAGGGTAATTTTTTGGCTTTACTGCATTTTCATTCTGATGCTGCATTAATGCTAATGCACTGTCTGGAAGTCAAGGGGGGCTTTCAGGGGTGAGAGCTATCAGTCACTGGTGCTAACAGAGATCTGTGCCAAGTCACTACAGGTTCGGCCCAGGTAGCAGTGATTCTCATAACTACTGTTTCTAAATAGTGTCACTGCACAAAATAGGCTAAAGCTGACAGATAGCCTTTAATCTTCAGTTTCAAATTTTTAACTTTCTCTGTCTCATGCTCTAGCAGTACAAATGATGGCAGAAGGTGTACAGATCTCAGCTGTAAATAGTTTTCTTCATCCCCCTCCAGCTGCTGTGTAGCCCACTCCAGTCTGAAAGTGCTGCTCTGGGCAGATCCATCATGTTTACCTGTCTGCATTAGTTCTCACATCAATACCTCTCTGTTTGCAGGTGCTGGATCTGATTGAAGCGTTCCTGACTAAACAATCAGAGAGCCCCTTGGTGTTTGATGTCATTGAGCCCCTGCTTCATGTCATTGAACAATGCATGGGCTCAGACTCTGGCAAGCAAGAGGTTGACTTCCTCCAGAAAACAGCCAATATCTTCAGGTAAGTGTCCTTAGTCCTCCAGGTAATAGGCAGTGGCTTTTGATAGACATCAGCAGTGCTGGCTGAATCCCAGAAGTTGGTCTTTTTGAGATTGAAGACGATTGCTATGCTTATAGATTGTGTAAAATTAGATTACCAGCATCACATATGAACACAATGCTTAGTCATAGACTGCAATAAAAAAAAAATAGGATCTGGGTTTTCTACTCTAAGCAATTTCAAGTGTCAAACCTGTTTGCAAGTGAAGACCTTAAGAACAAACTCTGGTGTTACAGGCATGGTGCCGTGTCACCGAATATCTCCACAGGCCTCTGACTTCGGAGTCAGGGCACGTAACAGCTCCTTGGGCTTACAGGGCTGCTGCTGTGGCTGGAATGAAACTCCCAACAAGTTATTACTGAGACAGGCAGAGTGCAAGTTCTCTGTTCACGGCCAGAAGTGAGGCATGATACAGACACAGACATAATGCATGATGTGGGACGTGATGTGTCTTCCGTACACCACTCCCTGATGTCCTCAGCACTGCTCTAAAGCTTTTTCAGTGCTGCTCACTGCCCCCCATTGAGAAGCCTGCAGAAACAGGCTTTGAGGCAGCCAGTCCCCTTTGTGGGAGCTCTGGAGAGAAATTGAATGATGCCTAAATAGGTGCTTGAAGGCGAAAAGCAGTAAGTTTCCTTGCCCTTCTTGCCACAGCAATGACTGCCTCTTTTGCTGCCCACAGCTAGCACCAGTTTTGTTCATGTGTTGCCCTGAGCCCAGTGCTCAGGGTTCATAGCCATCTCTTTCCCAGAGCTCTTTCTGTAGGTAATGGCTTTGGGTTTGGCTTTAATGCTCTTTCAGGAACTCACTGTGTCGAGCTAAGCAGTACTGCAAGAAAGCAGATGCCCTGAAAGAAGATCTGCATGCTTTTGTGGAGAGGCTTGTGAATAAGGCCTGCAAGCACACTGACTCTTCTGTGGCTCTCTATTATTTCAGGTGAGTGTTAAAAAGGAGCGTCTCTACTCGGTGCTGAGGGCTGTAAGCAGCAATTTTAACATTGCATGTTAAAACAGCTCAGAGAAGCGAGACTTGATGCGGGCTGGGTGCCTTACATGAGGGCTAGTCACTCATCCTGACTGTTTGAAGCATTTTCAAACAGATGTCCATTTTTTGGTGATGATCTTCTCTGGACTCTGTGATATGGAAACAGTCTGGTACAGCTTTGCTGATGGGGATGGGATGGGAAGCACTTCCCTGAGGCTTCATCCAGGAGTAACAAATTGTGTGTGATTCAGTACAGGGATGAGTGTAACTTACAGTCAATCAGCACTGATTGTTCTGGAAATACAGTGGTTTATTGGCTCCGTGATAGCACAGTGAAGGATAATAATGATTGTGAGTGGTGACTGTATGCACCAGTATTCATCCCTTTGCTGGATACAGGTGAATTAGGATAAGCCACATCTATTTGTTAGGAAACACAAGCAATCTTGCTTTTTCCTGGTGTAAATGGGAGTGCCATTTACCCCCCTAGGTACAGGATAAGCTCCCTGCATCACTTGACCTCTGCCCTCAGGTGGCTTTGCAGTGGCACTGTGAAGCTGTGGTAACTGCTATGTTCTCCCCTATGTTCTGTTTTTTAGTGCCTCAATGTCCATTTTTTGGTGATGATCTTCTCTGGGCTCTGTGACACGGCAACAGTCTGGTACAGCTTTGCTGATGGGGATGGGATGGGAAGCACTTCCCTGAGGCTTCATCCAGGAGTAACAAATTGTGTGTGATTCAGTACAGGGATGAGTGTAACTTACAGTCAATCAGCACTGATTGTTCTGGAAATACAGTGGTTTATTGGCTCCATGATAGCACAGTGAAGGATAATAATGATTGTGAGTGGTGACTGTATGCACCAGTATTCATCCCTTTGCTGGATACAGGTGAATTAGGATAAGCCACATCTATTTGTTAGGAAACACAAGCAATCTTGCTTTTTCCTGGTGTAAATGGGAGTGCCACTTACCCCCCTAGGTACAGGATAAGCTCCCTGCATCACTTGACCTCTGCCCTCAGGTGGCTTTGCAGTGGCACTGTGAAGCTGTGGTAACTGCTATGTTCTCCCCTATGTTCTGTTTTTTAGTGCCTCATTATACCTGCTCAAAGTGTTGAAAGGAAATACACCCGATAAGTCATCAACCCCTCTGCCAGAGAACCAGAGTGAGACCACCCCACAGGCTTCTCAGGTGAGACAGCAGGCTGCTCTTCAGGCAGTGGTTTTTGCCAGTAAAGTTGCATTACCCCCTTTTTTGAATGGGCCATTCTGGGTGCTTATTCAGCCTCACTGTTCCTGCTGCCTCCAGATACCTGTCTACATGATTTCTTTTCCATAAAGTTGTGACATTCCCCATCTTCTGGCCCTCACCCTCCTGCCTTTGCAGTGTCTACTCGCCCATAGCCACCAGGGGCTGCTGATGTACAGCAGATCCAGGTTAATTGCCAAAGAAGCCTCATGTATATTTAGCATAGAATCATGGCATGGTTTGGGTTGGAAGGGACCTTAAAGATCATTGAGTTCCAACCCCCTGCCCTGAGCAGGGACACCTCCCACCAGACCAGGTTGCTCCAAGCCCCCTCCAACCTGGCCTTGAACCCCTCCAGGGATGGGGCAGCCACAGCTTCTCTGGGCAACCTGGGCCAGGCTCTCGCCACCCTCACAGCAAAGAATTTCTTCCTGAGATCTAAAGAGGAAATTTCTTTCACCCTCACACCAAAGAATTTCTTCCCCAGACCTAAAGAGGAAATTCTTTCAGTTTAAAACCATTACCTGTTGTCCTGTCACTATACTCCCTGATCAAGAATCCCTCCCATCTCTCCTGTAGCCCCAGGAGAGCATTTATGCTGCTCTCCTGGCTGATTTGCTATTTTTTCCATTAGCCTCTTGGCAGTCGCTCTGAGTTCCTTTCTGGGAGGGTGCTGAGGAGCAGGGAGGCACAGGCCAGTGGTGGATGAGAGTGAACTCCGATCTCCGAGGTTTGGGCTGAGTTATCTCAGGGTGAAGAGAGCATGCAGCAGCCCTGATTTTAGTGGTAGTTGTTTGCAGGGAGTCTTCATCTGGTTGTGCTGTGGGTGTCTGTTACTTGGGGAGCCTTATTGTCTGGTTCCCTTTCACCTACTGTCTGCTGAATTTCACAGGCCTCTGAACTTGGTGACCCTGTGTATTGGGCAGCCCAGTCCAGTCACCTCCACTAGAGATGTAGCAAGTAGTGTTTCACCAGCCAGCCTGACACTTGCCTCTGAACCTCTCAAATTGTGTGCAGGAATTAGGGCCTTAATCCTGTTGACGTTTTGTGGGGGAGGAAAATAAACAAGGTTAACTCATGACAAGGGAGGGCTTGGAAATTACAAACACTGAGATATTATTAGTGGCTGAAAAGATAGCCAATGTTTCTCAGGCTTAGGGAGAGATTGAGAGTTAATCCAAACAGCTCTTGTTCTGTGCTGGGCCTTTCTGGAAAGAAAAACAAAGTGGGAGATTTGTGGGGAATATAAACATCGTACTTGACATTGAGGCTAGAGTGAGACACGCTTCACAGCATCCTTGTGCAGATTCACAGGGAAGGCTGCTGTTGCTGTAGGAGCAGAGCTGTGGTTTTGACCAGGCAAGGACACAGCCAGCAGTGAGTTGCCGGTTTGAGGGAAGCGACACAGTTCAGTTTGTGTGATGCTGCAGGGACTGACACTGTGTTGAGGCTGGGAAGGTTTTGCAGTGGGGAACCCAAGGCAAAGGTGTGGTGTGTTTCTAGTGCGTGTGTGGTGCTTTGTGAGCATGACCTGGAGCTTTTCAGTAAGCAGGAAAGTGGAACTAGAGCAGACCCTGTGATGCAGTGGCCAAATTTGTGGAAAAGCCTATCACTATAAAAGAAATTTTTTACACTAAGCATCTCCATGAGAGGAGGAATCAATTTTTTTCCCTGCAGGTGTGTATGTCAAGTGCTAAGTATAGACAGGAAAGTATAGGAAACTGTGGTCATATATTTCAAGATCCATCTCCCCTGTTCCACTCTAGCCTGTGTTCAGCTGTAGTAGCACCAGGGGTTTGATGTGAGAATGGGACACATTAACATGGCTTTAGCTTGCTACGGGGCCATGGAAAAATTGCTTGGGCAGCGGTAAGCAAAAGGTCCATCCACTGTTGTGAAGATCACAGATTTGACACCCTAGGCCTTAATTTTTCTTTCTTCCCAGAAAGCTGTGCTTCCCTGGCAATATGAGAACAGTCAGGAACGTCGGGATGTGATGCTCCATACTTAGCTCCTCATTCCCCTCTGTGGTGTTAGTTAGATCCATACAGCCTGTGCAGGTCTTGGCTGGTTGCTGCATGTCTGGGTTTCTTCTTCCCCACCAGAGGGGGATGTCAGAGCTTTTACACACTTCTGGGATTGCTGGATCCCTGAGCAGACCTGGGGCTTGTCTGGCGAGTAGTCTTTGAGTGCTCTGTGAACCTAACGTGTGTTAGACATGCCCACCACAAACCCAGAAGCACATCCACCCTATTACATATAGTGTGTGTAGACTTACTAGAAAGCTGTGCTGCACTTCCCTAACCTGGTCCTACAGCCATTGGTATTTGGGAGACCATGTTTGAGGCCCACTTTGTTGTTTCTTCGTGGTTCTGTGTTGCATCTCGTAGGCCTGTATCGTATAAGCTGCTCAAGAATATCTAGTTGTTGGAAAAAATCTGTGTGCATTGGTAGAAATGAATGTGACTCACCCTTGTGTTTCACTGGAAACTTTTTTGTTCTGCTTTTTCCCTCTAGCTTTTGAGCACAGGTTGTTTGGATATGGAGAGGGTGACTGCAATATATCGGGAAGCACTGACACAGCTGTTGACTAAACGGAAGACTGCCCTTACAACCTCCATGTTCTACGATTTCTTCAGCCGCTTCCCGGTAAGTGTGGCTGGTTGTGTGGTATGTTGTCTTGTGGTGCCTCCAAAGTGTGGTTGTAATTCCAGGGAAAGAAGCTTCTCCACTTTACTGCAGGCTTTTAAAACTCCTGTGAGATTTCCTAGGGTCTTCACCTGCTCAGACTCATAATAGCGCATGCTTTGATAACAACGCTGCAGGCGGCCAGGATCTCATTTGTGGTTTGGATTGGGATACTGCATGGAGAACACAGATGAACAGAAGGCTGCTCTTCAAAGCATAGCCTAAGAAGCTCAAACTTTTTAACCAGTCTTCAAGACAACGTGGGTGAGCCAGGTTTGCACAAAGGCAGAAGGGGCTGGCTCGTTTAAACAGCTAATGTACCTCCTGTCCAGCTTTTCTCTGACTGCATGCTCAGTTTATCAGTTTTCTTCCAAAAAGACTGTAGAGTGTAGAGGCTAACTGGACTCTAATCTGCAAGATGGATGTTCAGACAGTGTCAGTGTCTGAAATGTTTGAGGTATTTCCTGCAAACTTGACCTATGCCTGGAGCTGGTCTCTGCTATGAGGCCAGCCAGTTTTTAAGAAACAGGCCTTGAGTCTGAATGTCGTACAGTTCTTCAGGGATTTTTTAGGTCAGACTGAGGTAGAGACAGTTGCCAGTAGCCCTTTCCCAAGAGCTTCAACCTGACGGGAAGGTGGGAGGAGACATAGGCTTGTGTAACTAGGGGAAGATACTTTCAGACTCTGAGGGAATCCATGCAGGAGAATTCTCTTGCATAGCAGGTTTCTTAGGACACCAGCCCACGCTGCCACCCACATGAGCTAGTGAAATAGGGGGAAGAGAAGGGCTGGGTGCTGCCCACATGGACAGCAAACTTAAGATTCCATCTGCAGTTTTCTAGAGCCTGTGGTTTCCATGTGACTGTTCCTTGCAGAAATGCCTTTTAAAATCTTTTAAGCTCATCCCTTTCGTAAAGGAAAGGTAATGATATATACAGACAGTGGCCTGTTCAAAGCTGGGCTTTGTCCACTTGCTAGAGCTGTCTGTTCTTTTGGTAGTCTTCTTACCCCAAAAAAGAAGCCATTTCAAGTGTTGTGGTTGGAGTAACCATTTGCAAAGTATATCAAGTGCAGCAAACTGCTGTCCATGCTTTGTCAGGGCCAGACCTTCCAGTGCCTGACAGACAACATTAGAGGTACGCCCGTAAGGTATTTGCAGTCCAGATGCTTTCTCTTTTCTTGTGTCTGGATTTTTTGTGCCACTCAGTTTGGAAATATTTTGCCGATAAACACAGAAATTGGTGGAGAGATTCATCGAGCTTTGTTCACAAGTACCCCTGTTCTAGAAAAGTTATTTTGATGAAGGGTAGAACCTTAATGCAACCTGTTTCCAGTTACAGTGGAGTAACACAGTTGTTTCTGGCCCCTTTAGCATGTGGGTTCAGATCCTTCCCCAAGCTCTGACATTCTCCAGTCTAACTCAGCATGTTCTCCTTTGCCTCTGGGACTGTTCCTCTGCACGAAGTGAACTGCCTGCCTAAAGTATCAGGCAGATGCAGACTTAAATCACAAACCAGGCAGAACACAGGGGGTGAAATTTTAGCCTGATTTTTCCAATTTAAGAGTTTTGCTGCTGATTTCCTTGTGATCGAGATTTCACTCAGGGCTGGTGTGAGCAAAGCTGTTAATTTTCAAATAAGCTGTTGCTGATCTCTGGGCACTTTTCTCTCTTGTGGCATTTTCTTCTCACTCAAGCAGCTGTGTAAAATACAGACTGTTTTGCTCGAAAAACAAACCTGTCTATCAGCAAACCACTAATAACAGACTGGGTCTTTCTTTGTTACAGATCATGTGTAAGCCATTAGCAGATACTCTTGTCAAGTGTATCACAGCGGGAGCCAGGCAACATCACCAGGTAAGAAGGAAAGCAAACAAATAAAGCTGTATTAAATAGTCAATTGGAGAAGACACATAAGATGAGGTTTATTGCTGCCTTTAGGGCTGTCCAATTTTGAGAAGTGGGCTTCCTGGCGGGGAGAGCTTTTGCAAATCCTGCCTTGCTGCTTCAGGTATGTGACAGAAGTTGTGATAGCTTTATATATTCACAGACACAGGGGTTCCTTGGTAGCATCTCCTTTAAAAACTGCCTGCAGCTTTCAGGGTTGAGGGCCTGATTGTTGTAGGGATTGCCTTCAATTGCTTATGGCTTGATTATGTTCTTGTTGGTAAGATGTTCCTCTGTATTAATGCAGCGTGTTGTAATCCTGGCCTCCTAATGCTGCCTCAAGGTTCATGTCTTGAGTCTGTTCCACGCCTCGCCAGCTGTCCTGCATTTTCTAGGCCGTGTGCTTCCCTGCCCAGTTTAAAACCACCTGTACTATAGATCCGATTTTTGATGGTTGATTGCATGTGCCTGACTAACACAAAATTAGTGGAGCCTTATCAATAAAACATTGCAGGGTGAGTGCACAGCTCACTGTTGCATGAGCAGGGAATGAGGCCTGTCTGGGTTTTCACTGCAGTGGGGGTGCCTTCCACGCAGTTAATAACCAAAACCCCTTTAGGCCAGTAGCACGGTGTCTCAAACTTTCCCAGCCCCTAGCTGTAACACGCATCTGTCCCCTGCAGAGGTGCATCCTAGACTGACCTTTCTGTTTCATAAATAGCTGTTTTATTGTTTCTATTCATTTGAGGGAGTGTGAAGGGCTAAGTATGCGTTTACAATAAGGCTGCAATACATTGCCAGTGTAAACTGCATTTCAGGCTCCTTTACCCAACAGGAATGGCTCTGATTTAAAGAAGAACAATAAAAGAGTGAATTAAGCTATTACTAATTTCAGTGGATAGAAATAAGGATGTTTAGCACAAATAACAAATTAATTGTAAGGCACATACTTGATTGTATCCTCAAGGGACCGGAACAGCATCCCAAGCAGACAGCTTCATTTATGTGGGTATCTTTGCTTCCCCACAGGGAATAGCATTGTCCTTCTTTCACAGTTATCTGCTCCAGCTTTGTTTCCAGAGCCTGTTTATCTGTGGGTGGGGGAGGAGTAGGGGAGGCCGTGCAGTGCGCTGTGTGTGGGAGCCTGGGGAGAGAACGTGGCTATACTACTGTTTAAACAAAGGCAACACGGAGAGTAAGCTCTGTAAAGCCTGTGGAGTTTGGAGTTGCAGCTTTATGGTTTTTTGCACACTGCTTCCTTTTCAGGAATTCTGGCTTCCCCTTGTCAAATTTCCGATATGCCATGTTTTCAGTTAAATCTTCTCACTGATTCTCAATGCAAATGTGTGTTGGTGGTATCCTGGGGAGTAGAGGGCAAGCTAGGGGTAGGTGTGACAAAGCTATGTGATGGGTAAAGCGAGGGGATAACTTGTCTGGAGCCTGCAGCTCCCAGCAGCCTCTGAGGGAGGGAGGTGGAGGGACTCAGCTACCAAAAAGGGCTGTCCTAACTCAGAGTCCTGAAGACACCAAAGGTCTCCTGACACTCTGACTTTGGGCAGCCCCCATGGTCGAGAGGTAAGTCTCCCATTTTCAGCCCCTGAACATTGGCTTACAATCATTAAAGTAGCTTAGTCCCACAGGCATGAGGCTTAATTCCCCTTCTAACACTCCTATTATTAATGCTCATCGTTCTGGCTATGCCTGCTGCTTCTGTATGAACAGCTAATCCCACTGTGATTTTGACTTCTTGGCTCTGCAGATCCCTTTGGCAGGGAGTCCTCGGGGCCGTGCTGGGTGGGGAGAGCCGCGCTCTGCACGGGAAGGTGGAGGCTCACAGCCCTGGCCAGGTGTTTCGTGTTGGCTCTGGCCCAGCAGGGCTGCTGGCCCCTCTCCCAGCTGGCCTGGAGGAGGTTCTTCCCAAGGGGGTAGGAGAAGTGGACGCGTCTTCAGGTTGGGTAGTTTTGAACAAAAGGAAGAGTGGTTCATGAGGAGGATGTAAGGGGAAGCTGTTCCTTCTCCTCACCCTGAATACCTGGGCGTTTGTGAGGGCAGCGTGGAGATGGGGAGTCTGTTCCATCTCTCCTCTCACCAAGACTGGTCCCTGGGCTTTTTTTAAGGCCTTTAAGGCTAGATCTTGCCACCAGCAATAGATGTCTGGCTCTTGCTTCAAGGGTCTCTGCTCTTCCTGGGCCCTCTAGGATACAGTCAAACTTGATCACTAAGTGGTGGCCCCAGACTAGCCTGGTTGAGGTCATTTGCAGCACGTTTCCCTGTGTGCTCAGTAGGTCACACAGTGTACAGCGAGGCTTGGACCTCCATGGGCTCCTGTCAAGGAACAGCAAACCCGAACTGCATGTGAAATGTTGTTCCTGTGCCTTCTGTTGTGGGCTGCTGCAGGTCTGTCGAGCTCAATTTCTGGGCAGTTGTAACTTGAAGGATTCTCTAGGAAATGCAGGAGCCGTTCAAATGCCGCTCAGCTGGCGTTGGCTTGGGGAGGAGCAGCCTGGTTCTCCAGCCCAACCGTTTGTCCTGACCCTGGGGACCTCGCTGTCTGGTGCCCAAGTGTTTCACTGAATTTCACTGAATTTTTTAGAGTTGGAAGGGACCATAGAGATCATCTAGTCCAACTCCCCTGCTGTAGCAGGATTGCCTAGAGCTTGTCAGAGCATGTTACTCAGGAGCATCCAGGTGGGTCTTGAAAATCTCCAAAGAAGGGGACTCCATGACCTCCCTGGGCAGCCTGTTCCAGGGCTCTGCCACCCTCACTGTGAAGTAGTTTATTCTCATATTTGAGTGGAACCTCCTATGTTCCAGCTTATGCCCATGTTCATGCAGTTGTGTGGCAAAACAGACATGAGGATGATTTGGCTGGAAACTTACCTTCCCCTTGCACACATACTTTTTTTTTTTTTCCCCTCTTTTTGCTGTTTTAAAATTAGCTTTGATCAATTCACTGGTCTTGTTCAGGGCCCAGGGATAGTCAGTTCAGAGGCAGGAATGGCTGGGTGAAAGCGGTGATTTATTTCCTCAAACCACAGCATTTGTTAACATGAAATTATAGCTTCTATGGAGCAAGTACAAGAATATTGGAGAGCAGAGTTTGTGTGTTTGGACTGTTGGTGTTGGCTGTAGCTGATGACTTGGGTAACTGGGTCTTGCATTGCTGCTGCCTCTCCGTGCATCCTGTCTCCCTCAGTTGCTCACCTCTAAAACCCAGAGAACATCAAACCCGAAGCAGCAGGGTTGTGTCTGTAAAGACAGAGGTGTTTGTAGCCATCACATGGGCGTTACGTGCCTTTCTGGGAGGTGCATTTCTTTGGTGTGTGTCATTGCTGTAGAGAAGGGCCTTTTGGAGATATCTGAAGGCAGGTGTAGTATCAGAGGGTGCATCTTGATGCAAAGCTTAGCAGGAAAAAAAAGGAAGCTTTAGAACAAAAACTGTGGATGATGTGACTGACACCAAGTCAGCCCTTTTCCTCTGACGACTGTTCCTACGTGCCTAAAGCAGCAGTAAGGTTGTTCACCTCCCTACTGAAGTAATTTGTTAGATAAAAAGAACAGCACATTGGGGGGTAAGAGATCTTAAGGCAGTTTTAAACCCGGCTCGCAGTGGTTGGGTTGGGAGGGTTTCCTAGCAGTAAGCTCAACCTGTATAACAAGTTTTAAACTGGAAAGGTGAATTTGCAGTGGAATTATTGAGACTGCACTTGAAACTGAAGCCTTGTACTTGTGGCCGAGTTCTGTTCCTCTGATGTTACTCCTGGAGTGCAGGAGACAGTAATCCAGCAATTTCCTTGGAAAAGGACAGAGCTGGAGAGATTGGTGTCGATTGTGAGTGGGGGAAGGAAGAGCAAGGGTTGCTCGACCAGGGAAGGGGGAGGGTGTCATCCCACCCTGAATTCACTTAGTACCTGTTTAAACCTATACATCAGAAGGATGCAAGATGAAGATCTGTGTGACACTGGACCTGCAAAATCACCTTATTTCATGCAGTCGTGTGTCTGAGGTGGAATTCTTGCCTTTTGTGAGACCACACTGACTGCAGGACGCTAGGAATCATATTCTGCCTGTTCAATTGCACTGTGACTCTGGCAGTGGTGCTTTGAATGCTCACTGTTACCTGGTGGCTGGCCTATTTTTCCAAATCTGCAATTCTTGAAGTGAGGAGCTAAAGAAGAAAGGCTGATGTCCTGGAGGTGCCTGAGTGCAAGTTATAATGTTTCAGGCTTTTAAAAAATGAACACACTAATGTTTGGCTGTCTTTCATTTATTGAACTGAGAAATCTGGTGGGTTTTTTGTGGGTTTTTTTTCACTACAGTAGTAGTTGAGATCTTTTTCTTAAAGTCTTGTTGATCCTTCTTTTCCCATATGTATCAGTTAAACCACTATATAACTTAAAGCTGCGCTGTCTTCTCAGAATATGCCCTGCCTCGTGCCTGTCATGTGTTCTTGCGGATAGAAATTGTATCAGTTAAACCACTATATAACTTAAAGCTGCACTGTCTTCTCAGAATATGCCCTGCCTCATGCCTGTCATGTGTTCTTGAGCTGTTGTCTTCTGTAGAAAGAAGTGGATAGAAATTGTGTCAAATTACTATATTCTAAGTGGCTTTTCAAAAGTACCTATAGTGTGTGAGAAGTACTACAAGTTAAAGAAAGAAGGTGGTAAAGAATGAAATTTTCAGGGTAGTCTAGTCCAGTTTGTTGGATGAAGTTTTGAGGACACACAGTAATGTTTGGCTGTCTTTCATTTATTGAACTGAGAAATCTGGTGGGTTTTGTGGTTGTTTTTTTTTTCACTACAGTAGTAGTTGGGATCTTTTTCTTAAAGTCTTGTTGATCCTTCTTTTCCCATATGTATCAGTTAAACCACTATATAACTTAAAGCTGCGCTGTCTTCTCAGAATATGCCCTGCCTCGTGCCTGTCATGTGTTCTTGCGGATAGAAATTGTATCAAATTACTATATT